GCAGATAGTGACCAGCAGTAGGATCGAAGACGTGCGTTTCATCCGATTTGGAACTTGTCAACTTTACATACCTGTGAGTGATGTTGTTCCAACTAGGACTCGGAACCATGACCACCACTAGGCTACTAAGTTAAGACAGTGTTTCCGGCTGCTATACATATTTACTTCTCAAGATAACTACAAATTAAAACTCACTGAACAAGGTTCGAACCGATTTCCACACCCCTTGTGAGTAATATTTTAGCCAGACGAGCCAGTAAGACTGATTTTCCACTTCCAGATTCACCAGTTACGTGAACGAAACTGAAATAGTTTTTCTCAGAGATTTCCATTTGTTGGCAGTCTGTTGCGTGTTTTGAGATGATATTCAGTAGCTGAGTTATTGTTTCTTCGCGAACAATGAATAATGAAGTTCTTTACAAAAAAAGAGAGATAAATTTAATGCAATAGAAAATTTTCATTTCACAGTATTTTTATAGGCTCAGTAATATACCTCTAGAAGAGAAAATGCGATTTACACCTGAAAGCTTAGATAGTATTGCCAGAAGTCACGATGTTATAATCAGGCTTATTATTTGTTAGAGGTAATGGCCAGTAAGAACTACAAATGAAGATAAGATACCTCTTGAAAGATAAGGGCGACTATTTTAGGCGAATTATGTGAGACAACAGGATTCCCTTCTTCAAATCACTTTATCTTATCACTAAGAGGCTTCTTCATTTGTTTTCGAAGAAAAACAGTCAAAGCAGATGAAAAAGTCCTAGAAGACTCAAATAAGTTAGATCTGAAAGCAGTGGGAATCTGTTTCGTTTGCTATACTGGGAACATCACATAGTCCGAGATATTTTCGTTAACCGCACACAAAGGCACCTTACGTTGATCTTTTCACTCAATACTTCTTCGCTGTTCTCGAAAGTAAGTAAATCATTTCATTTATCTGCAATATTACCGTTATTATTTGTCCCTTGCGTACCTAATGGAACATACAGCTTCAGTAGCACGTCTCCATTCCACTCTCTTCTCTGAAATCTTTTGAACCTGGTTCCACGACAACCCACAAGCTCTCATTTCTCCCTCACACCATCTCCTCCATGTCACCCTCACCACGTACGCCCAACTCGTCGCTTCCCATTTGGGTTCCACTCAACGGCTTGGCCTGACGCGGGATGTCCCCAGTCGGTCTTCTCAGTGTATGCCCATTCCATCTCCACTTCCTTCCACTGCATAGTTATTGGGCGATAGCGTCTTGGTCTATTCGTTGCCAGCTAGCCATTGTTCCTTGTTGTTTTTTCTTATTGTTCTGGACATCTGATCTTCAGTATCGAGCCAGTGTAGGCAGTTGTTGATGGATGTCTGCGGTTGTTTGTTGGAAATCTCTTTCGTAACGCGCCAAGACTCTGAACCAGCACATAGAAGCACTGACTTGACGTTGGTGTTGAAAATCCAGATATTGTTCACGCTTTATGCTGAATGTGGTGCAGAAGATCTCCACACTGGTTTCAGGTTAATGAAAGTCTGTCTTGCTTTTCCGATCCTGGCTGGCTTTGACGTCCTCGTCTGTGCCGCCTGTAGTTGAAACAGTGCTGCCTAGATAAGTGAAAGAGGCTGCCTCCTTCAAGTTTCTCCCGTTGATGATGATTGGGGCTTGTTGTTGTTCTTATTGTTGTTGTTGGTGGTGGTGGTGGTGGTTGGGTATGCTTCATCACCTCTGTCTTCTCTATATTCAATTGAAGTCCCGTCTTCGCTGTCGTGTTTCTCCTGTCAACTTGTTGAATTTAGCCTGTAGATCTTCGAGTTTGTGTGACATTAGACATAAATCGTCGGCGAAATCCAAATCTTCTAGGTTCTTTTCATCGGTCCAGCGTATACCCATCTTCTCACAGCTCCTCACTGTTTGTTGCATGACCCAGTCTAGTCGACCACAACACAATCAGGAATATCATGGGTGATAGTAGGTGGCAGCCTTGTTTCACTCCTGTCTTCACTTCAAAAGCATCACTGAGCTTCCCGTTGTGAATTACTTGGCCGGCATGTGGCGTCTTCACATAGTTGTTGAATGAGGTTGATAACGGTTTGTGGCAGTAGAACCGTAGTGTTGGAGCAGTTTCCAAATTACTTGTCGGTCGATGTTGTCAAAGGCGTTTCCAAAGTAGATGAAGTTGAGGTAGAGTTGAGTTGACTGCCATTCTGTACTCTGTTCTATGATGATGCGCAGTGTAGCGTTGCAATTTGGTCCAGACATGATTTGTACTTCCTGAATCCAGCCAGCCAGCCAGCCAGCCAGCCAGCCAGCCAGCCAGCCAGCCAGCCAGCCAGCCAGCCAGCCAGCCAGCCAGCCAGCCAGCCAGCCAGCCAGCCAGCCAGCCAGCCAGCCAGCCAGCCAGCCCGTTCGGGTAGTAGTTTTGAATCCAGTGCATCCTTTAGTCTCTCCAAGATGATGCAGCTTAATATTTTGCTTGCTTTCGGTGGACAGGGGCATGATTCCGCGCCAGTTCTTGCAAACACTGAGGTCTCCCTTCTTCGGGAGTTTGACAAGGTAGCCCTTCTTCCAATCAATCTGCAGGTACCTTCCCTTCCTTCCTCCCAAACCTTCTGCAATAGTGGTATGATGTGAGCATGTCCGCTGCTGATGTATCTGCATCTGTGCTCAGTGCTTCTGGTGGGATCCCATCTGGTTCTGCTGCTTTCCCGCATTTCAGTAGCTTTATGGCGTTCAGGACTTCGACTTTTGTTGAAGGATTTGTGTTCACTGGTAGTTCTGTGGCTGGGCTGCAGGTGGTATTTCTGTACGAAGTGCAGATGGTGGTGGTGGTGGTCGATTCAAGAGCTTTTTGAGGTGGTCCGCCCATCGTTTCCTTTGTTTCTCTTCTTTGGTAATTCTATTTCCTTCATCATCTTTTATTGGTTTCATCTACATAGATCTCTTTCCAGATAGTCACCGGGTTATTTGATATAGTGTTGTCAGGTCACTGGCTCTCTTATCGGCAGCCTGTTCTGCTTTACTTGCCAGTGTGTCATATAAGTGTCTTTTGTCTTTCCGGATACTCTTCTTCACTTCTTTGTCTAGTGTTTTATACATTGTACTCAGTTCCTGTTGTCTTTGTTAATCCTTGCACTGTTTTATCTTCTGCTTCATCATCCTCCTCTTCCTCCTCTATCAGCTTCCAGATGTCCATCGAGCTCCAACTTTACCACTGCAGGCATTTGTTTGAGCAATTTGGCCTGTCTTGTATCATTTACCTTTCATTCTGAGTTAATCTTCTTATGTATTCTTCATATTAGTTGGGTGCTTTTAATTTGGATGCAGGCTTGATAACTGTATGGCTGCAGCCACATAACCGTTATTTGATAAAGTAGTTAATGAGAATGGCATCTTAGCGATATAATTCCCAGTTACATGTTTTGCGTTTTTATTTTCACTTTCATATTTGAGTTGGATGTTTTGTTACCTGTTTCATTACAGTTTACGGTGTTTAAATGATTTGTTTATTCATTAGTTATTTTTAGGTTTCAGACTTGTAGTTTGTTTGTTTCTACATCAGTTCAGTCACAAAATACTAGCTTCATGTCTAAGGGGTCAGAAATCAAACTCAGTATTCGACGAAGAGAAGTTGGAAACTGTTTTGAACACCTATTCACATCTTTGACTAACCATCTGTTATGCTCTTAGACGGTTTAAATGAAGGTCAATAAATAAGGATAAGTTTCATACTTAACTGACTTAATCAGAAGGGTCCTGACAACTAGAGAGAGAACTTCGAACGGTTGCTGCACCCCTGCCCAGGTCTCTGTGGCAGCGTATGACTGTACACACTATGAAGAAAATGACTTTCGGATCTTGTAATGAACACGGTAGGAATCAATCATTGAATCAGAATCCCTCTGTTCAAATTCTAGTTTTAACTTGCGTTTTGGCGAGTGCATCATCCCTTCTAGCCGCTATGCCTAGATTTTAATCCTTTGATAAATAAGTAAATTAGTGACCAGTTTAGTTTGTACGCTTTTTACAATGATTCCCATTTATGATTATGTGACATTTAAACCAACTTTCTTCTCCAGCAATAATAAATATAATGCAGCATTATCGGACTGAATAAGAATTATATGAATTTGTAGTATCCTATAAATAGGTACCTCTGTGGGGAAAGCTAACTAAAGAACTTTTATAAGTAGTACAAAGTGCGGCAGCAACAAACGCAAGAAGTGTTGACAGGTAACTGGCGAAACTTTGGAAGTAAAGAAGACACGGAGAGGGATTGAAATATAAAGGTGCAAGATCTAGAACAGATAATAGTTACTCGGTGGTGATTAGCAGTAGAGTCTAGGGTGTACATTTCTCCCTCTTCCAGACTTGTCAGCCAGATGTATCTGGGGCTCAGTGACTGACGATAGGCCGAATGTAGATGAAACTTAGCATCCATCGTTTCAAACACCACAGTATCGTCTACTTATTAGGGGAGTCACAAGAACCACCTCTATTGTAATGGATGTCATTTGATACTTGTTGATGCTTTTATTTTCCAGTCGATTATTTTGCTGGACTAGATTGACCAACCACTTATGACATATGGGGTCTCTTAGTGAATTTCTATGCACTGCCTTAAATTTCACTCTGGTTTTCTATGCCTGGTGGTGGCTACCAATGGAATCCAGAACACACGCTTCATTCTATTTGGGACTTGTCGGCTGGAAATATTCATTAATTTGGCAAGGTTTAATAGTCTTCAAGAAGCCACAAGCATGGATGAAGGACAAGAAAAATGTCTACAAGTCCGACTGCTTTAAACTGTGCAATCATCACTAAGTAAACCAATTTATTTAGCTTCAAAATATCTATAACTTTTATTGTAAAGGTTTATTTTCGTGTCAGAATTCAGTCGCTGTTATTCTACTCAAAATGACTCGCCAACAACTATGCTTTCAGTTGAAATAAATATATAAGCTGACAAATAGGAGTATGACTTTCATTTGTTCTTAGACTTATAAAGTATCCACTTACAGCATTTCCATTGCTTCAATGTGAGCTGATATTTCAAATTCGCAACACCAATGAGGAAGGTCTTGCATCTTGTTCATCTTCATACTCTCAGTGTCAATACGATGACGTCTTTCTATTTCTTCTGTTAAGCTCTGACTGAATTTATTTCGTAAATTGCGACACATATCATCTAAGTAAATGGCATGTTCTTGAAATGTAGTTGGATCTAAATAAGACTGAGAACAATTAATCTGATCATCCATTGTGATAAAAGGAGTCTTTTCGAGTTCATAATGAGTTTGATTGTTCGCTGGCACCTGTATTGTCAAGGTAAGTGCAAACAAAGAAATTTAATATCGCCAGAAATTACATCATGTTACAAGAGGGGAAATTTTCCTTATCAACGATTTACGAAGTCATTCAAACTTTTGTAAACAGAAAATACTTTGCAACGTTTTATACTACTTACAAGTAGGTCAACTATAAATATGAGAATTTCAAACATTTTTCTTAAAGCCGTAAAAACGATGAAAGTTCCAAATTTCTCACTTAGAAAGTGGTACCAACAACCTTAGGCACACTTTTTGACCAAATGTCTTACCTGAACCTCCAGATTCAGTAAAAAAATTCAAGAAAAGTTTCATAATGATCGTAAGTAAAATGGCTGTCAAAATATATAATTAAATGCACAAGTTTGAGGGCTTGAATTTCAGTTATAAATGAATATCATCAGTTAAACATCAGATGTCGTATCATACTATGGGAAGGGGACATAAAGTCACCCTGTGCACTGAAAGCAGTAGCTGCCATCAATAAATCCTTGTCTAAATATTATTTCCTTACACAGACAGTTTAGGGGATACTTGTATTTGATTTCAAGATTTGTTTGACTGTGCATTTCCAGCATACACTGTATGTAATTAAGCCCTACAGGAGGTCAGTCACAACCTGACTAACTCTATGGTAAGGTCACTGACGTTAATGACGGCAGGAAACCTAGGTCTAGGACTTCCTACCGATTGCTTCCATCCAAGCACCACGACACTGAGCCTCCTAGATCGGTAGTCAGGTTGCAGATATGATCCATAGGACTAAAAATATGAGATAGTTCGCTTTTCAGTGACTACTCAATGTGTACACTGAAACCATATGCTTTGGTGTGAATGTGCGGCTTTTGTAGCTTACAGGTAATAAGAGGCTTGCTCACACTCAACTTATTTACTTAATCATAAGTTCGGTTTTGAAATGGTGATGAAAATGTTTACAGTTAACTTTAGTTTATATTTCAGCGGTTTTCAAATGGTCTCCACATTTCTCTGGGATATCGACACAAAATATCCCCCACTACATATATATATATATATGTATATATATACTCAGAAATATCTAGGAATCCATTTTTCAGTCCTACAGTCAGCATCAACGTGCATCCTGGCATTACTGTGCAACAATCTGAGTTACCACACCTCATATAAACAAATCAAAGTAGAAAACAACAAAGAGAGAGAGAAATACTGACGGAAAAGTTTGATAAGACAGCAAGAAAGAAGGAGAGGACAATTGAACCCTAGCTAATCAATGAACGAAGATAATATTCAAATGGATCTGTGCCACTGAGATCGATTGTGAGCCATATCTTCTACAGTGTGCAATTACATATAACACTATTGGCGTGGTGACATGACGATACACAGCCTATATTGTGAAGGTAACGGAGGTCGAAAGTCTGAAGCCTTCTTATTTCCTTTCCTTCCAATGACCAAGTTTCGCAACTCTGTAGTGGAACAAAACGAACTACAGCGGAGAGTATTCAGCCAATATAAGAAAATCGGATATAATGGCGACACCATAGATGAAATAAGTCAGCAAAGAATGAACTGGCCTTTGATATCTGTGCATAGGTTTCTCCAGAAACCGACCTGCAGGGCAGGTCCGATTTTCAAAGTAAATAAGGTGGTCAGCGCGATTAACCACTTCACTCCTTTTTTTCAGATAGGATACCGACGTAGAACAGTAATGGAGAAGTAAGTTGCATTTATATAGTAAGAAACGCACCCCTCACACTCTTAATTCTTCACCCAAGGTGTCGGGAAGACTGTGCATCTTCTGAACATCGCCTAACAAAGCCATGTCAAGTTCGCAATCCAGGTCACCCAAGGATTTTTGTATGAGGAAGAAGTTCACAGGTACTTCTGTGACACAAGAAGCAGCCTGTTCGAACCTTGAGCTGTCGAAAAGCTTCTGCGTAACATATTACATCAAACCATTCCGTTTCAATCTGCTATAATCTTTTATATATATCTTCTAAACGTGCGTCCTAAATAGTGTGGCACACTGTTTATCTCCAACAAAGAAACAAATAGTGCGGTGTTAAACAGCGAAGAACAGTTTTGCAACCATGTCAAAACATAAACGTGGACATTTCTGTCTTATACATTCCAGCTATCACAACTCAGAATTACTACTTGCTGGTGTTTAATTTTAATCTGGGCTATTCAACTGCTTATAGTCTTTGATTCGCTTAGAAGGTCACTCCACGCTGTTGATGACCTCTTAAACCAGCTGGAATAGCCATTTTCGGAATATATGAATCAAACGGTTAGCAAGGTAGAGGAGAAGGAACGAACTCACCTTGTTCGAAGTTTGGAGAAATAAATTCTAGAAGTGAGTTTCGTCTCATATCCTGAATGGACACTTCCTCTTCAACAAGGAAATCTACAGACAGATGGTTTTGCTATTAATTCACCACTTGGCTCAATCTTAGCGGATGTATTTCTAGAGAAATTGGAAAATTATCCTTTGGAAAGCACGAAAAGCAAGTTGAAATTTTACTGCCATCATGCCAACGACTTATTCTCATTTCTGAAAAACGAGAACCACGCGAGAATTATACTGTACAAGCTAAATAGCCTCCATTCAGCCATAACTCTCACTTCTGAGAGAGAAAGTGGTGGTGGTGTCACCTTGGATGTCCGATCGAAGGGGAAGATGGGTGGAACTATCAAAAGGAGTGTATATCGAAAACCAGGGTCAGGTGGCCAACCAATGCATTTTTTGAGTTTAATCCCCATGCAATAAGAAAGAAATTTAGTCAGATGTTTTTTCAGCTGACAGTGGTTTGTGCTTCAACTTGAAAAGGTGCAAAGGGATTTGTCTTCAAACACGGGAAGTGTTGAAAACCAGATGCACTTTCAACAACTGAGCGACCGCCAAAATATTCGCAAAGAAAGACTTAGGACTAAACTTCTCCAACATACCGGATTCTAGTTTCAACTACAAATGAATGGTGGCAAAGACGAATTCTATCATGCGTTTTCTAAGAAGGTAACTCGGAACTCTAACCTTGAATGATGCCTCATGATCTTTAAAGCTTACTTTGAACGACATTTAGAGGTTTTCAACGAGATAGCATCCCTCTCTACTAAAGAGAGACGCAAACATTGTCAAGGAGGTGAGAAGAGTACAAAGGTTAATTGGTGGACTTGAGGGTAAAACATGTGCAAAAATCTTTAGACAATTTGGCTTGTTCACCTTGTGCTATCAGAGGGCAAGGGTGACCTGACAACAACCTTAAAGAGTACCAAATAAGTGAACCACCCTCAAAGGACAACATTATCGACCCAAGACAGACAGTCTTGCAGGAACCGCTCTCGTATGTCTTACCGAATGGCAAAGACGATGGTTAGATCCAACTTCTTCTACATAGTCTGTGCGCTATGGAAGGCTTTGATGAAAAAAGGGGTCACAGCCCCTTATTTTACTCTTTCGAATAAGTGTTGGATAAGTAAGTGAGCGCAAAGAGCTTACCACCAACATACAGCGGTAACAGTTGAACGTATACTTGTCAATCTTTCTGTTACCCAACCCTAGTACCAAAAATACGAAACAAACCCTGTCCATTTTATTACTAATAACACCTATTCTCAATAGGCAACTTTGACTCCTCCTCTCTTATTCTTGGCCTGCTCCTATCCCTTACACTAATGTTTGAATAACGCTTAGTACTTACTTATAGGTGTCTACAAAGACAAGACCTGCAACATATTAATTAACCTTGTCAGTGGATCCGTTGCTCCTCCAAACAAACCAGCCAACAGTTTGAAAAAGAAAACCTTTAGATAAGCAATCCCTACCTCTAAAACTATAAATGGGTAAACTGAAAAGACTTCTGCGATGATGGAAGGAGTATAAGTGGAAAAGAGAATCGAGCCTCAAGACCTAGACGCCAGGATTCAAAAGCAATAAGTTTTCTGTACTCAGACTTTTGGTGTTGGACATTTTATGATGTACTTTCTCACATTTTTAAAATGTTTTCAACCAGTTTCTTCGCTAGTTAACAACAAAACTAAAAAAACACCAATACAGATAGAAATGGACTGTAAAATACACTAAAATACTTCGAATTACTATTCCTAGAATACTGAAATCGTATTGCAGATATTTGTACTGGCTGAATGAACTACCACCATGAAAGTTGCCCTCACTTTTCTGTTCATTCGTCTTTCCACACAAAACCTAACTGTAGCACCAGCTTGTTGCCTCACATAGTTGTCTTTAATATTATTATTATTATTGTTACTATTATTATTCAGACTCTATAACTACTTAGTCCAAAAATATTGTAGTGAATTTGTTGAAATCGTAAATGCTGAAAATATCATACTCTACCAGACATTGTTTGGAATAAAGCGATTATTGTTCTTACTATTACCAAAATAGAGAATGGGAATGTAGAGAGTAGAAGTCCTAGACAGACATCTCCTGATATACATATATCACGGGATACCTCACTGTAGGCTATGACATCCCACCAGTATTCGAAAACGATACCTTCAAGAAGGTAATGTGCCTACTCTATACCTATTTCAATGAGAAACGCTACTATAAGACCTCTTTATTAACAGACTTAAATACCGCCTTCAAATCAAGAAAATCAGCTAGTGTCAGGCACTGGTTAGTGTGCCTGTACATAAGACTTGACAGAGGATGAATGTCTCGTCAATACACCCATTACCATATCTTGAACTTGCCTGGTTTTCTTCGGTTTTGCTGTTTCACATCTCCGATTAGATGTTTAATAAGTTGTAACCTCGTATATTATACACCAACTTCGTCAAACCAACTCACCTCCGGTTATCCCAAAAGTATTTCTCGTCTTTGGTGATAACTCGGACGATCAGTGATTAAGATCAATCAAAAAGGCTTATGTCTGATTCACATATGATGGCTAATACTTCAGCTAATGAATTCAAAATCACACCATCTCAGCTCACAAACCTCTCTGATATTAACCCGATTGGGCTTCATTCCTTCCTGTTTTTAGGTTACTTACAACCTTCTTAAATTCTGTAGGAGTTTGACTGCCTATTACAGAGTTCTGTTCTACTTGAGGATGGACATCAAAAAATAAAATATTGGATGGAAGTCAGTTGAATTGTTTCTCGAAGTATTTCATCTGCAGTCCCTGTCCTCTCCCCAGCGAACAGAAACCTCAGACCCATTTTTCTCCACTACAGTCTTACTAGGTATTTTGGACCGTTTTCCTTGACAAATGTAAACAGCTATATACTGTTACCTATCGCCGTAGCCTATTCCATCGGTTTACACTACTCTGCTCAAGGTCACAGTGTAGGCATGTTGTCAGTCTAGGTATGAATTGCCTCCACTGCTCATCGTTGTTAGAGCCTAAATTGATGCCTTCATACGGATACATTCATTCAGAATAAACTGGTGAGATCCACTGCCCCCTTCTTACCTCTTTTTGAGAGTCAGTTACGGTCTTTAACGCCTTGTTCACAACAGATTAGAGGTTGCTCCAGTCTTCTCCGTAATAAGTGATGTTGGTCCTTTCCGCTAACTGTTCAGCCAGTTTCTCATTGAAATGAGTCTCAGTCTTCTCACCACCAAACTACACTCAAAATCGTTTCTCTGCGTTCACTTAAATGCAGACATTGGCATGTTCAGCCCAATGCGTGATCACTCTCCACGTACATACTCCAGATAGAGCAACAATCTTCACTTTGCCTTCCACAGCGGTAACCGACATCAATATTTTCAAATTGTATCCACCACTGAGTTGCCAATGATGGACACCACGTCAGATAAAGTCTTGCTTTATATGTGAAGTTCATGCTAGCCGGAAGTACAGGGTTATCTGAGCACAGGTTTTAGAAAACGATGGCCGTCGCCTATCCGTTCAAGTGAGATTCCGAAGTTGGAACTTAAGTATTTTTACTCTCCGACTTAGCCTACCCACTTGTGAATTGAAATCATCTACTGAAGGAGACATATATAAATCTTTAGCTTTCAGTAACAGACTGAACAGCTTCTGGTAGTGCTAATCTTCCAAATGATCCAAAGCTCAGCTGCTGGGTATGCAAGCATAGGTTATTTTGAGACAAAGGTGAGCTTTGCTATTATTTTTAGTCCTCACCTCATTATTCAATAAAACAACACGTAGGCAACTGTCATATAGGATCCAGTCAAGCAGTGCACTTTCTGTTTTAGCATTTAGTTCTGTTCATTTGCGTGAAAGACTACACGAGTTAGTCACTGAATCTCCAGAAACTCGATAAGAGAATTACGCAGATTTGCTATACTAACTGGATGAGGTTATGCGAATGGTCACTGTATAAGTGTCTCACAATGTACCGCTCGTCTGTAGACCAAAATACCAGAATTTTGGGTAAGCGAAATAGTCGATTGATTTGACTTAGGGTGTGAACATTAGGGGTTTCAGTCTGCAGTTCGAAGCGCAACTTCAGGAAGTCAGTGATGCTGTTGCATGTACGCATATCGTTATCAAGAGCTTCAGAGCTGGAACGAAGTTAAAAGTGAGGCAGGAGTAATGACCGACAGAAATGGGCGAAGTCTGGAAGGTAAGGATGCAGAAGATTGATAGTGATCTGAGGATACCTGAGGATTAACAGAGTTGTGATGGCAGTTGATACTTCTCGGCTTCTAACCTTGTGAAAGGTTACTCCTTTTTGAGGCTCTCGAAAAAGAAATTACATAAGTAATATTAGTATGTGACCTCGGTGCCAAAGCGACACCTGTTTGAGGCTGGTCACACAAGGATTTGTTAGAAGTTTATAGTTTAACTTTGTGTTAAATCCAGCTGGAAAACGTATACCGCGAGCACCTGAACATTGGAAGGTAGTGGAGAAGTGTGCTATTTTGAGTGCCGATGTTTTACTACACCTTTCCCGCTGGAAAATAAGCATCATCATAGGCTGTCGGCCATCCTCAAAAAAATCTTAATGCTGTCCAGCCAGTGGAATCACCCCACCCTGGGACCCTCGTCAAAGTGCAGTAATTCACACTGTAGTGGTGGCTGCTTTATTTTTTACCACCATCCAAAATACGTTTCCAGTATAGTAGAACCTGACCACCAGGACGAGTTAATTCATTAGCCTCTATCAATTACATTCAATACACCTAGTAAAAATAGTTACTTACCCTTAATCTTGCCCAATCTACAATATGTTTTGCCCTGAGCAATGATTCATTGAAAGCACTTGAAAGAAAATCGTTTTTCATTGAAGTAGATGAACTAGCAGATGAAAGTGGATTCGTTCTTGTTGTTGACCATGACGCTAACGATAAAGAACGAGATCTCCAAGTAGCAGTTACGTCAGCAGTAGGGGGTTGTATTCGTGAGGCTTTATTATCTTGATGATAACGCACATGGACGAAACAATCAGAATTCAGTTCAGTGTTTTGAAGAATCAGTTCTGTCTGCCTTTCAACTTCTATTGGATTTTTCAATGAAAAAAACAGAAGAAATGTTTGTACAGTCCAACAGTTAGTTAAATAATACACGGAATCAGATCAAAATCAAACAGTAAACAAAATTATTTGCATATATAACTGGATTAATACCAAATGTGGCTATCCAACTTGAGGATGATGTAATTTATTGTAAACTACTGTGAAGAAACAAGGATTATAAGACATGACTAATATTAGAGGAGATGACTAAGAAAATATTCTATAAATGGCCTATTTGTCCCTGAATTTAACTTATAGTTCAAAATTGATGTATTACTCAACTCAGTATTTTGAATTCTGCTTTGATATCAAAAAAGTACTCATCATGGACTGATATGACCTGGAGAAGCCTTGAGAAGCTGAAAGTATTGAACCACTGTGCCATCCTAGGATGGGACTCTTCAGCTGTGCGTAAACGAGGATAAATCAGAGGTGGAACCGAGGACATTCAGGTTTTGTAATGAGTAAATAATCACTGAGCCACCAAGTGGGAATCTGTAATGTAGGTGTAAAACTTGAGCACTGTAGTAGGACTTAATTCCATACAAGATTTGGTTTTTGATTTATCAGAGAAAGTCAACCTGTACCGTTGAACTGATAACGTTTCTAGCGTAGATTATCATTGATCATAATCATATGAATGCAATCACACTCCATTTGATATTAAATTAATATAGTTCCGTCAATTCATAATATATTTTCCTCGGGTATCCATTGCAACACAGGGATTCAGTAGCACCTCAATATTTCAATCTGTTCAATGCAGGTTTTCCAATCTGCATCCAACACCGACCAGAAGCTCCCATTTCTACATCCAGGTCATCCTCAGCTGAGACGCCTAACTCATCGTTTCCCCTTTGGCTTCCACTTAACGACCTGACCTCGACTGGCACGTGATGTCCCCAATCGACCTTCTCAGTGTATGCCCAATCCATCTCCACTCCATTCCACTGCATATTTGTTAGGCAATTGGTTCTCCGTTGGTTCGTTGCCAGCCAGCAGTCAGCCAGAGTTCCTTGTCGCTTATTCTTATTATTCTGGCCATCTCATCTTCAGTGTCAGTATCGAGTGAGCGTAGGCGACAGTTGTTGATGAATGTCTGTAGTTCGTTGGAAGTGCTGTTCGTACCGCACCAAGTCTCTGAACAGTCACAAAGAAGCACAAATTCGATTACAATAACTGTTGAGAATCCGGATCGTGTTCACGATTATATTGATTGAAGTGGAGTGGAGTGCAGTGGAGGGGAGTGCAGTGCAGTGGATTGGATTGGAGTAGAGTGGAGTGGAGTGGAGGGGAGTGCAGTGCAGTACAGTGCAGTACAGTGTAGTAGACCTCCACACTGCTTTTCCAGATTCATGAAAGCTTGTCTTGCTGTCTTTCCGATTCATGCTTTCACATCATCATCTACGCATGTGATGTCTGTAGTTGAAACCATGCTGTCCAGGTAGTGGACGAAATAGACTACTTCTCTTAGGCTTCTCCCGTTCATGGTCATTGGTGCTTGTTGCTGATGCTGTTGTTGCTGGTTGCATATCTTCATCACCTCTGACTTCTCTACGTTCACCTGAAGGAAGTCCCGTTCTCGCTGCCTACCCTCTTCTGTCAACTTGTTCGCTTCCACCTGCACATCTTCGAGTTTGTGCAACATCAAACACAAATCATCATCGGCGAAATCCCAATCTCCGTCTAGGCTATTTTCATCGGTCCACACAGCGTATTCCCGTCTCCTCGCTCCTCACAATTTGCTGCATGATCCAGTCCAGTTCAGTCCACCACAACAGCAGCAAGCTCATCGGTGATGGTAGGCGGCAACCTTGTCTCACTCCTGTCTTCAATTCAAAGGCATCAGTGAGCCCAGCTTTCCAATGTGAATCACGTGGCATGTGGCATCACACAGCATACAGCCGCTGTTGAATGAGGTTGATGAATGTTTGTGGCACTGAAACTGAAGTGTTGAAGCAGTTGCGTGCCTGCCAAATGCCTTCTCGTTTGACGCAGTTGAAGGCCGTTTCAAAGTTGAGGTTGAGTTGAGTTGAGTTGACTGCCATTCTATGTTCTCTTCTATGATGATGCATAGTGTGGTATTCCAGTTTGAACCGCACATGATTGCAGAAGTCTGCAAACAGTTCTCCATCCTCATTCATCATTTCACCGAGCACTCCTCAACCCATGATGACTTCCGTTACTGGGCAGTTCACTCCCAGTTCGACATTCATGTCACCCCACCCATTAGAATGAATTTTGACGTCTCCATCTGTGCTGGGGTCTTGTCCAGTACTCATCGCAGTTGTCTGTAGAACTCCTCCTTCTTCTCTTCATCTGCACTATTTGTAGGTGCACAGCGTAGCATTGCATGATTGTGACATTCCCTCCTTTCCAGTTGAATCCTGGTGTCATGATCCTGATCGTGCAAGGAGGTGATTGTTTCCCACTGCATGAGAGAGAGCATTCGATACTCTTGGAAGGAGGAAATCATGATCACCACTCCAAATCTCAGTGTGCTCGTGATTGCCGTGTCATCTGGGTGACAATATCGGAGTAGATAATTGACTCCTCTCCAGTTGACAGTATGGAGAGTCTACTTCCATTCCATTCCATTCCACCTGCAGATTCCTCACAGATTCCCAGCCTAGCACTTCCAAGCTATACCCTCTCATCTCTTTGGCAATCTGAGCAGCCTTGCCAGCCAGCCAGCCAGCCAGCTTCAAACATTCTTCGGACATTCCGTGTCCCCACGCTTACGTTCGCTTTCATCGAGGGAGAGGAGAAACATCGGCCAATTGGCTTCCTGAAGGCTTTCACCAACCGGTGTCATTTCGTCTCCCCGATTCCTGTGGGGAGTAATTTTGTTCTTATTTTTTATATTTTCCTAGTGCTTTGAAGTTTCAGTGGCGATTGGATTGGTTTTCGAGGTTCGGGTTGCTAGCCGTATGTCCAACCTTCCCTCTTAATATGGGCTTAAGACCGACTAGTAACTATTGAACTAGTTAACCAGGAGAGGTTTTTCTACTCATATAAATTGGTTTTGTTTTTAGCAATATTTGCCACATCTCTGGCTCAGGTGTTGCGTTATTTCTATAGCATGTGTTGCATGTTGATTTGACGAACGAATATTCAGTAATCAACCTCTCTCTCCGTCCTATTTCACTGGACTCAAGTACTGTGGCTTCCCCCCCCCATTCTGTGGTTATGTTAATGCATGCATTGCAATGGCCGAGGTTTTTTCTAGATTACTGACCTTACTAAATTGGTCTAACTAGCTGGTGGGGGTCATTTGGAATAGCCAAACAATGAAATTTAGCTTAGTATAGAATGACAGACCAGAATAACATCAATAATGCATGCATTAATACACAACCACACTGTAGGATGAGGTAAAACCACTGCACTTAAGTCCAATATAATAAGGTAGAGAGAGATTGATTGCTGAGTCTTCATTCATCAAATCAACACGCAACACATGTTATAAAAATGTTTCAACATCTATGACAGAGATGTGGGAAATTTTGCTGCCAATAAGAGCAACTCATATGAGTTGACAGAACTATAAAAATGAAATGTCGAAAATAGTGTGATTGTATTGATATTATTATGAGCAATGGTAGTTTATGCTAGAAAAGTTATCAATTCAATGATACAAGATGACTAAGTGTTATAAATCAAATAACCAAATCTAATATGGAATTAAGTGGGAATCGATTTTTTCACTTTTTACTGTCAGTTCGCCATATACAGTGACCTTCATTCAATGACATCATTGAGTATTTGGCTTCAAATATGACATGGTTTGCCTCACCGATCAGGAAATCTCATCTCGAAAAATGCCTCCAATGAGTCTGGAGGTGTATGAAGATTTATTGATTTCAGGGTGATATTCACTATGATAAATGATAACTTTAATAAAGAAGTGAAGTTCCATGAGTAATTGTCACTCTGAGTACTTTCGTTGACGGTCTGGCTTTCTACATATTTCGAACAGTCCATTATTACCCTGCAATATTAGATCTACCGGAACACCATCATTATGCAACCGGATAATGGTTGACCTTACCTGATTGAAAAGATAAGTCACTTTCAGCGTGAGGTGGTTCATCATTTCCCACTGTTTGTCTGCTAGATGTAGTGTCAGTATCTGTCTTCGTTTCAATTAGCTCTGTGTTCTGTGCTGAAAGTTCAATATCAGATAAACGAAAGGATGTTGATGACGAGTTCATAACTTGTTTTCGATTAGAAAATCTTAGAAGTAGACATCTTATTCGGTGTGCATCAGACAACCAAGATTTGAGTTCAGCCTGACGTCGATTTTGGTCATCGAATCTTGTTATTCCAGGTAGAACGAGGCTTCAATAACAAAATATACAGTATATATAATTTTATTTTAGTGTAAACAAATTACACAGTTTGATAAGAAAAGGTCCAAATAAATCTATACAACGTATTAATGTACGGTAAATAGCTACTGAAAAGCCTACAACTGGTTTTGTTAAAGTTTTTAATGGTTCATATCTTTAAAGCAAATTTATTTGATCCAAACACGATAACATTGTACCGTGTCCACTTAAGGTCCTGGATACTTCTTCTCAACAACAGACATAATTAGCTCATCTAATTCTTTTATGAATGCCTTCAAATCTGGTGGTTACTGTTGAATATATCTATAGGTTGTGGTTTATAAGCATTTATTCAATTAAAAGAGGTTTTCATCACAAAGTGACATCGTTTAGAGAGCCTGTGAGTACTAGATAGCTGTTTCGTCATAGCTTTGGACGCCTCAGTGGTGTGAAGTCAGAGTCCAAGCTCAAGACAGTCAGGCCTCACTGTGAGTGCTTTACCATTGAGTCAACGGGTTGGAATCCAGTAGTCCATTATCCCTTACTTTTGTCAGTTCGGGATACAGGAGAGTCAGTATCTAGGTTCATTGGTGGGCATCCGCCTCACTTTTGATTCGTTTGACCCAGGATATCAGGCGTTCTCATTAAAACTTCAAGAAATCCCTTTCGTGACAAGAGTTTATTAAACATTATACATTCTGATAGGAAACTAAAACAAGTGCTAGAAGTGGTAATCCAAAAATAATGTGCTCATATACTGAGTTCACTCGTGACTTAAGTGCAATAGTATTTTTAATGCCTGTTTACTTAGGTATGAATATTTTAATGCATCAACCATTTCATTCTTGTCACTGATTGAATCATATTGTGATGAAAAACAGTACTTTACTTGCACGAAAATTCATCAACAGATAGCTAAACAATTTACAACATTAGTCGATGACACTGGGAAGCTGGAAACTCAATTGTTCTCAAAATTTATACACACTGATAAAATCTCCAAGTGCGGTGACAGCAACACAAAAGCACACGATATAAGTTGCATACAGACTAATCAAAAGGGAAGAAACACAGTTCAGTACAACAACTTAACAGAGGAACGAAGAAAACTATTTCATGTTCTTTCTAAAGAGGAACCATTGGCGAAAAAAACGCCATCAGAAGATGCCTATCCACATCATCATCCACTGTGAAATCATTCACAGAAATTAGCAAACAGATCACCATATCACACTTAAAGAACATACCAAAAATCATAACAAGATTATTGAGGCTATTTGGAGTTGGTGTATTTCATAAACCAGCAAATCCCTTTGAGACCATATTATGAAGACCAATGAACTCAACCGGTAAACCAGATAAACGAAATATCACTTATAACACTAACTGAAATAACTGGAATCATCCCTACACTGGATGAAGTGGCCTTTTCTTCACCTTCGTTCATATGAATTTCAGTGGGTTGTTAAACGTCAAGAAATTTCGATGCTCATTTCAAGCAAACTGGGTAACTATGAACATGAACTCAATTTTGACAATATAGACATCATGGACGGAAGGAATACAAAGAAAGCAATAGAATTCCTAGAAGATTGGCATTCATGTCAGTCAGCAATCTATAGATGTATAGACATAGATCCAATCTGTCAAACAATAAGAAAAGTAATAAACACTTACAAGTTCAGCCAGAGAAACGATCAGCAGGAAAATCTATACAGTTAATGACACAACGATTGAAGGAAACAACCAATCACAAACCACTCATTCAGGGCAAGCTGCTGAACCATTCACACAAAGATATAGATAGCTCAGTTCTTACTGATGTAAGTGCTGATGATGGTGTCTAGAAAGATAGTAAAAGCCTTACAATCAAAGTACCCTGCTCAAACAAAACCATAAACTTACGACTCTCTACTAGCACTAAAAAATTTTTCTATCAATCGAGTTTTAACATATATTTGTCCAAATACTAGTTTTCATTTCTCTGTCTCAGCTACTAATCTACAATTAGTGAACACTGTCGTAGCTAACGATTCCACGTTAAGCAGTTATAACAAGTTATACTGAAGTTATTTAATGTACAGGAGAAATTAAAACTAGAATAGGCGGGAATTAGACTACCATATCATGATTTAAAAAATATAATTTGTAGAAGAATAAGATCATTAACATTTTATTCTATGCAGCTAAATATTCCAATGAATATTATTGAATCTACCTGTTCCTAAACGTAAATGAGTCATTTTCTTAAAATATTATAGGAGGGAATTTCTGTCTGAGATGCATATGTATTTACCAACGTTCACAATATCTTAAGATGTCTGTTAGGACCAGTTATATTTTTAAGATTCATTTAGTAAGTGCACTAGAAGTGCACAGTGTATTTTTACTTACATTTCTGTCACAACTCCCTCACATTTAAGTGACATTAACAGGTAGTTTTTCAAAATGAGACCTAAGGACATGGTCTGTATAAAAATTCAAAATGAAATGCATAATCTGATATTGTTTACTGGATGTTAATTTGCTAAATGAGCTTTTGAATTCCATGAAATTAATGTGATTAACGATACATTACTTAGCTGCATCTTTCTACTATTCAATATGATGATGAACAAATAACCTTGACAAGTTAAAAGCATTCTGACTTTGTAAACTTGTCTATAATAGGTGTATTAATAGTATCCAACCTATTCCATAGTGACATGAATTCCTAAAATATGTAGAAATAAACTACAAAAGTTCAAATTCTAGACTACTGAAATAGATGTCCGGTGTAACTGTCCTGATGTTCAATGTTCCAGTAATAAATAACTTGTCAGACTTTACTTCCAGCCTTCTTTTCGATGAACGCACTAAGTTAATGGGTCAGAAGCTTGTTTTAATCTAAGGCGGCCTACTTAAATCTTGGGCTACTAAAAAAGTTTCCTCCGATTATATTCCATCACATTCTTCCCTTTTAGTTTGTTTTAATCTTTTAAATGTCTTCTGAACGTACCATTCACTCTCGTATGTTTTTAAAACGTTTTCAAACTTTCATTTCTCAAGCTGAGGATAAAACAAAGAAAAAAAGTTTCGCCGCTTGGAATTGGATTTGTAAATGCTGAAAAACACACCACACTATTATTTCTAGGATACCTGCATGGGTTTATGAATTTCTGTGCTGGCTGACTGAACTGCCACCATTAAAATTACACTCGACCTTCTCAAGTTGTCATTCATCGTAGACTGACATCAGTTAGAGGAACAAAGGAAATCTAGGAGCACTGGACAGCTGTTTCGTCCTAGTAAGGGATTCCTCATCAGTGCGCGCCCACTACCCTGCCCCATCAGGGATCGAACCCGTGACCTCCAGGTTCTGCGACCAGCGCGTTACCCTCGAGCCACTGCGCCAGAACCCAACGCTCCATATTCCCAACATCCGTTAGCTCACGATATAGCGCAACGGCCACCCAATGTCATCGCTGAGTATCTGTCCTCAAGACCATCAGGCTTTGACTCCACCGGTCACTACTTCTCATTGAAACTTTGGGAATACTTCTCGAAGCTAGTCACCAATGAGCACCAGTTCATGAGCTAGCGGAAGTTGGAAATATGGAGCATTGGATTCCGATACAGTGGCTCAGTGGTAACATGCTGGTCATGGAACCTGAAGGTCACGGGTCCGATCCCCGGTGGGGTCGTAGGTGCTCACTGCTGAGGAGTCCCTTATTAGGACGAAGCAACTGTCCAGTGCTCCCAGGTTTCCTTTGTTACTCCAACTGATGTCAGTCTACGATGAATAACAACTTGAAATATTTCTAAATCCCCACAACTCCCTCAAAAAACTGAATCTTTTGTTAATTTCTGAATTGAGAACAGGTGATAATGTAATGCTAGCTACCCGCTTCATGCTTATGTCTTCGAGACTGTTATTATTAAGACTATTTAGACGCTATGATTATCTCGTTGAAACATATTGTACGGAAAGCGAAGTTGTTGAAATATCCCATGCTAAAAGTTCCATTCTGTAGCATGCACGTTGTTTGGAGTAAAGCGATTATTATTATTACCATTGTTATTATTAAAGCTTTAGGAAATGATAGAGATCTGAAGTCAGTCAGCCAGGGGGTGAATAAACCACGAAAGTAATTGTAACATTACGATAAATCTGTCAGCGATTTCTTTCATTTTCTGTTGGTCGCACCCTTTGAAATGATGATTGGTGTAGTTTCTAAGCTATTTGATATTTCAATTTATTCCTCGTAAACAAAATACTAGGCATTAAACTATCTTATCCCTTTCATCAGTTTGCTGTTTCAACTATCTACCAGCAGTTTATAAAAAACTTTCTAAATATATAATAAGTGAGGTTAACATTTTAATTCTCTAGTATTTTTACCTCACTGGTTGTAAGAATGAAATATCTGGATGAGTTGTAGACGTTCGACAGTACCACTTATCTAAGATGTCTGGATTCAGCGTCCGTATAATTTCACTTTTATGACGTACTGAATCTTCAACTTGTGTTAGTTGTACAGGTGTTATATTGGTGAGTTTCATGGGGATTCTTCTGTTTGGGACTGATTCATCGATTGATGGGATATTTGGCTAAAACACATATAAAGATTTAACATTAAATATTTCTTGTTTAGCCTCAAGGTAAGACGTGTCATGGATTAAAATTATGATGCATAAAATGTGGTTGAATATTTTAAATTGGTATGGGTACGATAGCTGATAAGCAAATTGGAGTTAGCTAAACGACTGGTGTTAGTGTGTCCTATCAATTTCGTGAACGTTTTACAAAAAGTGAGTTCAGTAGTGTTAACGTACACGACTACAATAATCTAGATGGCCAGTCAGTTTAGTTGTATCCCTAATACATTTAAAGAACATAAGCTCCAAGATTTTTGACACAAGAACCTAAAGATACGTAGAGTATCGATAGATAACTTACTGAAGTTTTTTGTTGGCCGGTTGACATTTTATACATTTTATCTGTGGACTTTTCATGTAATGATTGCAAGAAACTTAGTATTCCAACTGGAACTGTTCAAGCGGAATTCATAAATAATTTTGCGATATCCCATAGATAGCTTGTAAACAAATATATGAGATAGCCTGTATCATAAACCACATTCGTGTAGCGGTTTGGAGACTTTCTATGCCCAAGTTGGAGTGGTCAAATTTCAATGAACCACCTCAAAAACATAAGGCAGATGAATTTCAACAAAATATGTTTGTCTTCACATCTAAGAACACTGATGAAACCCAAGAGAGTGAAATCTTGTAAATGAGGTTGAAAACCAAAAATATAACATTATTCAGTGAGACAATTATTACGAATCATTTCCACAAATAACCTCGCCAAGTTAACTAGTTCAATAGTTACTAGTCGGTCTTAAGCCCATATTAAGAGGGAAGGTTGGACATACGGCTAGCAACCCGAACCTCGAAAACCAATCCAATCGCCACTGAAACTTCAAAGCACTAGGAAAATATAAAAAATAAGAACAAAATTACTCCCCACAGGAATCGGGGAGACGAAATGACACCGGTTGGTGAAAGCCTTCAGGAAGCCAATTGGCCGATGTTTCTCCTCTCCCTCGATGAAAGCGAACGTAAGTGTGGGGACACGGAATGTCCGAAGAATGTTTGAAGCTGGCTGGCTGGCTGGCTGGCAAGGCTGCTCAGATTGCCAAAGAGATGAGAGGGTATAGCTTGGAAGTGCTAGGCTGGGAATCTGTGAGGAATCTGCAGGTGGAATGGAATGGAATGGAAGTAGACTCTCCATACTGTCAACTGGAGAGGAGTCAATTATCTACTCCGATATTGTCACCCAGATGACACGACAATCACGAGCACACTGAGATTTGGAGTGGTGGTCATGATTTCCTCCTTCCAAGAGTATCGAATGCTCTCTCCCATGCAGTGGGAAACAATCACCTCCTTGCACGATCAGGATCATGACACCAGGATTCAACTGGAAAGGAGGGAATGTCACAATCATACAATGCTACGCTGTGCACCTACAACTAGTGCAGATGAAGAGAAGAAGGAGGAGTTCTACAGACAACTGCGATGAGTACTGGACAAGACCCCAGCACAGATGGAGACATCAAAATCCATTCTAATGGGTGGGGTGACATGAATGTCGAACTGGGAGTGAACTGCCCAGTAACGGAAGTCATCATGGGTTGAGGAGTGCTCGGTGAAATGATGAATGAGGATGGAGAACCGTTTGCGGACTTCTGCACCTTTAATGATTTGGTAACTGGAGTGAGGCAGTGTGTACAAACACAAGGATATTGACGAGGTAGCGACATGGAGTTGGTTTGACCAGATGGTCACACTGCACCAAAAATCAGAGCGACTTCATCTCACTGTGAAGAAAGTGCGGATGCAGCCTACTGGGTACAAGATCAGATGAATAAAGGGAGCAGATGTAAGTGGTTGACACCACTCACTACCTAGTGCAGGGAACCAGACTTCAATATCACGTTGAAAGTCTTCACAGAAGTTAATATTGACAGACCACAGTTCAGGTTGAACACCCATAACAGAAACTGAAGGAGGAGACTACCATGATATCTTCACGCCAGCCAGCCATCAGGACAAAATGGGAGACATTGGGCAACATCCCAGAGGAAGCCTGCGTGGAAGCCCACTGGAAGTCTTTGAGTGAGATGTAGAAAGAAACCTGCATAAGCGTGTTAAGAAGGAAGATATAAGTAGACAAGGAATGTATCTGGATGGACAAATGGAAGGTGATAGAGGAGGGATAAGAAGATGGTGAAGCAAAAGCAGAACCAGTGCAATGCAGTGCAGTGCAGTGTAGTGCAGGGCTGAACAACGAAAAAGGGAACCGAACACAGCCTATGAAACATTACATTAGACAAAGAAGTGGAGAAGAGTGCGTGCAAAGACAAAAGACACTTCGACGACGCATTGGCAAGTGATTCAGGACAGGCTGCAGGTAGAGGAGACAGAGACCTACCAACACTATATCAAATAACCAGGTTATTATCTGGGAGGGGAGAGATCAACGCAGACGAAAGCAATGAGAGATATTGAAGGAAACCTAGTTACCAAAAAGGCGAAACAAAAGAGACGACGAGCTAACCACTTCAGAAAACTCTTGAATCCACCACCATCACCATCACCACCACCAGCAACTGGTCCAGAAATATCACCAGCAAGCCTGCAAGCCACAGTGAATGACCCAGTGAACACAAACCCTCCAACACAAGCTGAAGTGAAGTCGTGAAAACCATACAGATGCTGAAATCCAAGAAAGTATCAGGACCAGGTGGAATTGCGTCAGAAGCACTGAAGACAGAGGCAGAGCCAGCAGCGTACATGCTCACACCAGTAATGCAGATGGTTTGGATGAATGGAAGGAATGAGGGAGGGAGGGAGAGGTACCTGCAGATTTATGCGAAGAAGGGTTACCTTGTGAAACTGCCAAAGGACGGTGGGTGACCTCAGTCTTTGCAAGAAGTGGCACGAAATCATGCTTCACCACTGTCCACCCTAAACAAGCAAGATATCAAGTCGCATTATACTGGAGAGACAACAGGGAAAATGTGCTGGATTCAGAATGACCACCGGAGCAGGTAGGCAGGCAGGGAGGAAGGCAGGCAGGCTGGCTGGCTGGCTGGCTGGCTGACTGACTGACTGACTGACTGACTTCGTGAAGAACAAATCATGTGCAGATCAAATTGGAATGCCACACTATGCATCATCATAGAAGAGAACATAGAATGGCAGTCAACTCAACTCAACTCAACCTCAATTACATCAACTTTGAAAAGGCCTTCAACTGCGTCAAACGAGAAGGCATTTGGCAGGCACGCAACTGCTTCAACACTTCAGTTTCAGTGCCACAAACATTCATCAACCTCATTCAACAGCGGCTGTATGCTGTGTGATGCCACATGCCACGTGATTCACATTGGAAAGCTGGGCTCAGTGATGCCTTTGAATTGAAGACAGGAGTGAGACAAGGTTGCCGCCTACCATCACCGATGAGCTTTCTGCTGTTGTGGTGGACTGAACTGGACTGGATCATGCAGCAAATTGTGAGGAGCGAGGAGACGGGAATACGCTGTGTGGACCGATGAAAATAGCCTAGACGGAGATTGGGATTTCGCCGATGATGATTTGTGTTTGATGTTGCACAAACTCGAAGATGTGCAGGTGGAAGCGAACAAGTTGACAGAAGAGGGTAGGCAGCGAGAACGGGACTTCCTTCAGGTGAACGTAGAGAAGTCAGAGGTGATGAAGATATGCAACCAGCAACAACAGCATCAGCAACCAGCACCAATGACCATGAATGGGAGAAGCCTAAGAGAAGTAGTCTATTTCGTCCACTACCTGGACAGCATGGTTTCAACTACAGACATCACATGCGTAGATGATGATGTGAAAGCATGAATCAGAAAGACAGCAAGACAAGCTTTCATGAATCTGGAAAAGCAGTGTGGAGGTCTACTACACTGTACTGCACTGCACTTCCCTCCACTCCACTGCTCTTCAATCAGCATAATCGTGAACACGATCCGGATTTTCAACAGTTATTGTAATCAAATTTGTGCTTCTTTGTGACTGTTCAGAGACTTGGTGCGGTACGAACAGCACTTCCAACGAACTACAGACATTCATCAACAACTGTCGCCTACGCTCACTCGATACTGACACTGAAGATGAGATGGCCAGAATAATAAGAATAAGCGACAAGGAACTCTGGCTGACTGCTGGCTGGCAACGAACCAACGGAGAACCAATTGCCTAACAAATATGCAGTGGAATGGAGTGGAGATGGATTGGGCATACACTGAGAAGGTCGATTGGGGACATCACGTGCCAGTCGAGGTCAGGTCGTTAAGTGGAAGCCAAAGGGGAAACGATGAGTTAGGCGTCTCAGCTGAGGATGACCTGGATGTAGAAATGGGAGCTTCTGGTCGGTTTTGGAGCCAGATTGAAAAACCTGCATTGAACAGAGTGAAATATTGAGATGCTACTGAATCCCTGTGTTCCAAGGGGAACCGAGGGGACAATTGATACTAATTTTTTCGCAAATATTTTCAAGTATCTTTCTAATGTAGTAAAATACTTCAAGGTTTTCCACATCTCATTTATCGTATTTTGGTTTTAATATCACACATGTAGGAAATTAACTGCTTTTGCAACTTGTTTTTAACTTATTTGCCGAAGAATGCTTCCAAAATGCTCCTAGGCTGTTCCAAATGGAGCTGGGGTCAATAATTAAACAAGGCTATCCGATAATTCCTACTAACATCCTGAGTATTATTTCCTATACAAGGTTACAGAATTATTCATTTCTTCATATTTAATTTAATTTCCGTGTGTCACGTTAGATAATTAACTGAAAAGTCTCTGAGAGTAGAATATTTATTTCATCCATGACCAGCTTACTGATTGACTTTAGTGTCTGTGAACTGTTTAGTGTTTCGTATATAACTTAAGCTCTACATACAATGAAATGTGAGAGTGTGCAAACAGACAGCTCTCTCTAATTCATACATAGTGAAACATATTTGTGTTTCTTAACACTAATTTCTGTTTGATTTGTAATTTTCAGGTTTCATATTATCAAGAAAGTCGACCTCGGAGAAAGCTACATATTAGATTAAGTTGGTTACTTATGATTTTGGACTGAACGAAAATTTCACGTTGATTTCGTAGTGCTACTGAATCTCTTTCATCAAAAATCCATTAATTTGTGCAAATATGCCTAAGCGTTTCATGGTGCTGACAAAAGATAATCTACCATATGTAGTATTCTCCATATTTATTTCGACTGGTTATCCTGGCAATTTGAACTCTGATCTTCTTGTTGCTTATTATTGGTTGACAGACTGGGTCGATTTCCGTGTCTATTCATCACTGACTAACCTGAATACCAAGTTTCTAAAAAATTTTCTGACATTCGTCATATATACTCTATCTAGGATTTCCACATTTCCCCAGAAAAATTCATGTCCACAGTTGTGTGTCTGCATTGATACGAGCGAAGATATGTCATGACACTTCACTGTTAGTTGGTATTCCTATTCACGTTGGTGGATATGAAAAGAGTGTAGTACGATATAGTGGTTTTCGAAGTTTCTGAAATTTTTTTGTAGATAATGTTTGGATTATCTTACTTTGCTATTTCTATTGTAACATAGAGTCAAGGGGTTTTGTCGGCATGGATGATACAGAGATTCTTAAAGGTTTCAATAATTTGTTCTGTATCTTGAAGATGTTCTTCGTGTAAAGTAAGACGATCCGTCTGTTGGTTGACAACGATATATTCAGAAGTCTTTTGATGAAGTTGCATGGAAAACCGTTCATCTGGTAAATAGTAAGTAAATAGATTTATTCTTTTCTCCATTAGATCGACGTACTGCAATCTGTCTTCGTTCTTCGAAACTATGTTTTTGTACAACTGATTTTATGTGCTGCTAGGTTGTTGGTATTGTAGTTCACGATTTGATCCATATGAGATGGTTTTCTGTATATTTCAATTCTTGTTATCATTAGAATGGATTCGTGAAAATTTTATAACTAACACAACTGACTATGTGAACTCAATTGACAATGACCATCACTAGTAGTTTTCTTTTTCAAGTAAAACTTGTAAGTCTACCATTATGACATCCCTCATTGTGAATGAAATAAGAAATACTGATCAAAATCTTATTGACAAAGCAAACTGAATGTTATATCACCAATCTAATGGGATTGTTTCCTTCTGTGGTTGAATTCGCAACTAAAATGGCATTAAAATGAGAATGGAACATTTTTGAATTCCACTAGATTCTTCTTACTTTATGAAACTTACTTGTTTAGTGTTTCCTTCTTCTGGTTGTGATCTCAAAGAATTTTGTGAGCTAAGGTACCTAGAAAGACGACGTAGAAGACGAGGACTGTCAAAACCTGGAAGTTTCTCAGACAACATGGTTATTTCTGTTTTTAAATCTTCAATTTCTTCTAGAGCGCTAGTTTTAATCTGATGAATTAAACTGTTTGGTAGGTATGGAGGCAATGGAACAACCGGACCGACAGAGCGATTTGACAGCAGTATCTGGATGATTAGATAAAGAATGGGGAAATGTCTAAATCTTTAGTCAGAACTATTACACAAAATAACTATTTCCAAAATATCACATTCAGTAAAACCGTTTTTTTTCATCAAGCGTATTTTGCGAAATTATGATTAGTTGATAAATAGCTTTTATCATCACATTTCAAACCTAAAATGAAATGCCTAACAAAGTATTATTTGATGAATTTATTAGCCACAGTGTGAACTAGGGACTTTCAGCAGCAGATTTGAAGTTCAAAGTCATTCAAGCTCTGGAAAGTAGCTGCTTTAACTCCTTTAAAACTTCACTCATCCACTGTTGAGATTCGATATAGAGACTGTCTAATATTTTCTTTGCGGGTTACCACTGTTCGTCGGTTATCATTTATCATTAAATGTCGGTACATTCTTTGCGCCCGTTCAGTGTCATTAGTTTCTCTTTTCCTCTGTTTCTTTCTAGATCTTCATGTTTAGTGAGGAGACTATCACTGACAAAATTATACTCTTCCGCTTGCTTAGCTTCAACAACGTACCTACAGACTAGAAGAAAAGCTACTAACAACCAGCCGTTATGATACGACCAACTTTCGATAGGATTAAAGATTGCGAAATTCGCCTTCTCCGAATTTGGGTACACTGATACATAAAGAATGAATAATTAAAGTTGCAAATGAATAAGGTCTAACATAGAAAAGTGGCTTCATTTATATGAGCCATAGCAACCAAAATTATCCTATTAAAACTCTTGTCATATTTTGAACCAAGTGAAATGGTTCCTTCATGCTTAACTGATTTATCACTGTCATCAATTCTTTTACCCCTCTCTGAATTATGTACCTTCGAAGAACTATTCCATATATTACGTAATCGAGTTTGTTACCATTCATACTTTAACCTTTATCATAATCACGAATACCTGTGTCATCATCTATTTTATTATTATTGTCATCATCATATAATATCTGGTTTTCCTCAAGGGATATAATTTTTAAATATCCCTCATATTCATCTATGAAACCGATAGAAGATTTCTGTTTTCGATCTTGAGAACATGGATTTTTGGGGATTCGATAAAGTTAACTTGTCATATGATCATTATGAACTTCATTTTTGTTTCGAATACTTAGTTTGAGTAATTTAGCAAACAAAACTGTTTTACTGAGTGACACACCTAATAAATCAATTTAAACTTATTTTAGTCATATAGAAGTCCGTTAGAAGTGATAGGTTTATATTAAACTTTATTTCCGTGTGCAAAGATGATTTAAGTAGTAAGCAAGTAGCCGTATATTTCACATGTTTGAAGTGGATCCTACTTGTTGATGTTCATCTCCAGTCTTCAACAAGACCGTTATCTTCGTTGTTGTTTGCTAACATTTACCAATAAGTTATTCACTCCACAAACAGTGAAAATGTTTGTCCTTAGGGCTATACATATATCTTATTATCGAGTATCAGTGGGAACGAGAAGACTCAAATTCAAAGGATTTCTTCCAAATAAATCTCATCATCTAAAACCAAAAAAATACTAAATAACAGTTTTGTCTCCACTTAGCTAAATGGACACTTTCCACAATAAACAGACAAGCCTAGATAAGCCTGGATAACAGTTTAACAATGAACCAAAAAGCTTTTGAATCCTATATTCTCTTGCTTGTGTAGTAGTTTTATTTGTAACAGTACTGAGGTCAGTTATAGCATGGAATAAGATTGTTATTATCTTCCTAAAAAACCTTAAATTCTTGAAGCTTTCTATAACCAATCATGTTCCACCGAAGTTTCAGAAGAAAGCACATGAACCAACTCGTAAATATCCAACTGGTTGAACGGACGAAAATCAATACGACATGCAAATCCAGAAAGGCCTGAAAATACCCAACTTCATATGCATAACTCGGGTAATACTGAGTAGTCACTACAAGGATATCAAAAATGATAACTAGGATTATGAAAAAGGTTGAAATAAGGTAATTTCACTAAATATTTGAATATCAACCAGCAGGCTTACTAGACAGTTTAAAAATTCTTTTGTTTCATTCGTCTAGACAAGTGTAGCTTTAATTCAGTGTCTTCAGGCAAACCATATGAAGTCATCGTTAACTGATTACGTGGTTCAATATCTGTATCCATATTATCATCAATAATGTGAAGCGCAAATCCACGTTCATTACAAATACGTTGTAAATAAGGCCAAACATGTGCGCGTAATTTTGTCAGTTCAATTCGCATATCTGTAAATAAGATTTTGAAACAGAAAATAAAATTTAAAAATTTTGCATCAATTTAGGAGGAAATCAACAATGCATGAAACCTGCTGACTGAATGAGTAATAACTATCTTGTAGTACAAAGGGATGTTCATCGTGCTGAAATCCAGTTAACTATCATGGATCAAAATGCCTAATTTCCCAAGATTTTTCCTCTTAATTTATTCATTTGCATCAAACAGAGTGTCTGCAAGTCACTGAACGCATTGTAAACAGTCTCAAGTTGTTCATACTGACCAACAGACTAAAGAACTCATGTCTGTTAAGTTTTACTGAAACAACAGCCGTCAAAAAACTTAAGCCAATTCCATATATTGATAAAGATAAATTTATCCACCTTGCAACACCCTGGTAATAAGTTAATAATTAAAAATAAACAAACTTTTGTTATGTCATTTTATCTTAAGAATTCTTATTCCATCTCAAACCTTCATTGTAGGTTAAAACTGAGTCTATGATAATTATTTTCCATTTCTTATTCTATCTACCACTGAACTTTCACTTTCAAGAATATTTTTCTTATAATGATATGAGTAATTAATCAACCTGTCATATTCTTAGCAATCTCTTCTACATTTTCTGCTTACATTGTTCATTGTACATATTATCGGTTGACTTTGTCGATGATTTTTATGTTGTAAGCAGTTGGGACGAGTCCTCGAAGTAGTGAAAGCAAATCCTCATTAGCCTAGCTCACTTGTTCTTATTTTCCCTATTCAAGCTTAAAAGCTCATAATAATTAACTAGTGATTCATCCTAACCAAAGTTAGTCAGTCTCTCCACTTCTTAATCAATGAAAATAAAGAATTCTGGTTACTACTGTGATTCCACGATATTGAACAACACTATATTGTTTTATAGTCTTTTTACATATCAAGAAGAGAAAGATAATTTAGTTCCACGACCTTCTTTGCTGGTTTTAATACAGAGAAGTATATCATGTTTTTAACAAACTGTACTTCTCAATGTTTAGGAGACATGACACCACTTATTTTGCTACCATGTGTTTTAACTTGTACCAAACTGACTAACTGCCATTTATCCAACCAGCTGTTTCAGTGTTGTATACTAGGATGTACAAAGTTGAAACACAATAATCGTGTATGCCACTAATGCTTAACGTATTAGTGCAGATAAATAACAAAGCGATTTATCATCCACGGCTCTATAACGCATGTCATTCTAATCTTGAAATAAAACGTAAGGCAGATGAAATGATAGTTTTGTGAAAAATAGTATCACAACCCCAGGATACTATTACATTCATTGTTAAATTCGCAAGACACTTACCAGTTGGATCAGCTATCACATAAATGTACAGCTGTCTATCCGGAAATGGCAGGGGCTTCATATGTTCTTTTACATTGCGCAATTTTTTTCTTAATAATTGGCTAGAGTGTAAAATGGCTCTGCTATCTGACCTTATATTGTATTGTGCATCCGTTAATTTTATCTGTAAAATGATAGGATATAAATTAGTGAAAAAACAAATATTCTGTCTCTGTTTTATACTACTAATGAAGTCATGATCGCAGATATTTCTGCTCACCCACCTGCTTCTCACATCGTTAGACTTTAATTATTGGCAAACAGGTCAGCAAAGAATGTAAGAAATAGATCATATGTTCACGTCGCTGCACATCTTAGCGGCATGCAAAGAAAAAATAGGTAGAAATAGAGGTTTAGGGAAATTAGCAAATCTTAGTGTCACTGAAGATTAAGCAGCAAATCAGATATATTTATGTGAATGTAGCTACCTAGATTCTTTAACTATTTATTTCCAACATCCAGAAGATCCTACGGAGTAAGTATTCACTTTCCTAGTGTATCTTAAAGTTTCTTCCTGAATTAAAAAATGATACTTTGGAATCACAGTGGTTAAGCTCAATTTTATTTTAAAACTTATGTCTAAGTTCGAGATGTATATCTTATGTGATACAAAGCAGTCCACGACTCTATATCATCTGAGAAATTCAACATAAATAATGCCTATTGTTGACTTGGTGATAAACATCTTTAAACCACCTCTCTTACCACTAATTATTAGGAAATAAAGTGAATTGCATCTGAAACATTGACTTAAGGTTGGATCTAACACTATCAAACGTCAAATAAATTTAAGATTCCATCAGGAATTAAAGTAGAGGATTATATATTTGGTTCGTATAGTGAAACCATTTCGTTGCAGCCGCTTGATTGGTGCTGAACTTACAATCCATTGAAATTAAGCACTGTTGTTCTAGTTTAAGTTCAGAAGCGGGTAATGAATTATTACAGTTGGCAAATCGAAGTAATTGGGAATGAGAACAGTAATATACGAAATGATAAAATATGTATTATAACATGATAGAAAGCTATGACTGATTCTGAGTCACATCATGTAAGGCCTTCAAATATAGGTAACGTCTTCCTTAATGAGGTGGTTGTTAGTTACCTTTTTCCCTTGTGTTCAGAACGACAGACGTAGTGGAGCAGTCAAATTTTGGTATAACCATAGTCTATGGTAGCCAGAATAAAAGATGATAAGCGTAATGGTCTTAAATTATGGACCTAAATGGCAGATACTAATCCGATAAAGCCAGTAAAGATGACCATTCGTAACTGAGCCATAAGAAGAATGATGACTTCTAACTGTTCATGAATAAACTTATCCTGCTGTAATTCCATGTGTTCAGCAAACAACACATTTACATACTCAGTAGCGCACATACACCTTTTAACTGTTCAACATATTTAATGACGAATGACAATTACAATATCAAGCTATGATCCAACTAAATACATTCCAATATACTGATGGGTCACTGGAGTGCAACCAATTTCATGTTGTCTAGTCCTGAGTGCAGACCGAATCCTATCGATCATTTTTGCAATGTGGCAACCAAGCTAGGAAGCTCAGCATCGCGGTGCACATTAGTAGATGATAGTTGATTGGAGGCAACTGACTACAACACTGGGTGATGCGGGTTCGAATCCCGGGCAGGACATCAGTTTCGTCTACGTTGCAGATACGCCTTGCTGATGAGTGCCAAAAAGTACGAAACCCAGGTTCAGGGCTTCCTGCCGATGGCCTCTAACCAACTAGATCTACTACTGAACAGTTTGAGTGGTCGGACATCACTCATTCTCTACGGTAGTACAATTTGTTGCTTTATAACATTTTTGTGCAAGCGATCATACCTTTTTATTTTGGGTAGATAGTTTTCAACTGAAAACTGGTTGACATCCCAATTAACCAGGTGAAAACTACTCAAATTTCAAAAATATCAACGTACAAATCATCTGCAAATTCATCAACATGTTTAAGAATTTGTGACGACTTATAGTAATTACTCTGTCTGAACAACAAACCACTTAATAATTGGCCTACAAAACAAAAAGTATCTGCTTTAGTTGTTTTACTTCACCAATCAATTTTGATTTTTACTGTAAACCCAAACATTCTGATGCAAAAGTTTTGACTTCAGTAGCTAAATTTTCAAAAGAAAACTTGTTTAACTTTCCTAAATACTCTGATTTTGGACCAAAATAAATTCCTATAATAATCCTGGATCTGTTTAAAGTTGATACTCACTACTTGTCAGACCACAGATATGTCTAGCAATACCCAATATCGGTTTACGACAATGAAGTTTCAAATTTACAGCTTGAACGATTTTCTGCTTACCTTAACAATACTACTTATTGGTCACTAAAATGTCCTTCTGTGACTGAAACTTTTATACATTTCGGTTCATTGTAGGACAGCATTTATTGTGGTGTTGATTGGCACTGTATTTGTATTGTAATTAGCAGTGGTTATATGTTCATTTTTAGTTTTACGAGCAACATACAGATGAATATCGACTAATATCCTGTGATGAAGCATACTATCTCCTCTGTTACCGTATATTAAAACTAATGCAGTAAGTTCATAGAATGAAACCACCATATTCAGGATTTACCAAAGGTTGAATGGCGCTAGATTAAGAGAGTAAATAGATGACTTCCACTGAAATCGTGCACTTCAAGATTTTATTTTAGACAAGCAATGCACATATACCCTTTCTCATGACTTTTTGTTTGAAATGACTATTCTCTAATAACCAAGAGTAAAGTTTGTAGTAAAGTTATAGTAAATCATAGATTTTAATAAATTAGGCTGAAATGTTAGCATTGAATCGACAATCAAGACTGCTGGAGATAAAATATCCTTGGGATTTGGGAAATGATCAAGATGATCACTGACTGGTACAGGAAACCAGAGAGTTGATGAAACCAATCAGGCAATTTATACTTTCTGGTTGAGTCCACAGTATGCAATTCACTTCAGCGTATCAGAATATTGTTGTCAGTGCTTAAAAGCGGATGCAGTAAAACATGCGTCACTTCTCATGTAAACCCATCGTGGTTGATCCAAGTGAAAGTGATAAAGCCGAAACAATGGAAATGTTGGTTATTTTTGGATGAAAGTTCATGATTTTTATAGATTTCTATAATAAACCATATAAATGCGTCTTCTGGTATGAAATTGTTCTTGAATTCTTTACAGTAAATTTAAAGCAATCGATTGTGAATAGTCTTTACCTGATTTTCGTGTCTGTTAGTTGGTTGGAGGCAATCAGCAACAAAAGCGAAACGGAAGCCCAATGCTTCCTGTCGATTACCTCCGACCGACTAACATCATTCAAAGTGCACCAGGATGGTAAGCGTCCTAGCCTAGTGGCCATATTGCAAAATGGTAGACAGAAGTCGGTCAGCATTTAGGACTCAGCAACATGAGATTGGTTGCTCTCCAGTAACCAATCAGTGTATGATTTACTTTGTTTGAGAACCCAAACGAATGATTATTCAAACAGTATATTCCTAATGATTCATCATAGTGAGTAAACTTGACCCATATATGACATTACTACCTTTTGAATGCTATAGGTGATAGAGTATATAGAAAGTGAAAGTGATAAGGTAGATTAGATATAAGCTGAATAACAATCTTTTGAAATGAATTTTCAGCTTTCTTATTTAATTTTGCAAGATGAAGGAGTGTGTCGACAAAGAGACTCAAGTAACCAGTATAAATGTTTTACGTGATTTGACCTATTGCAGTAACCGATCTCAGATGGTCTTTGACTTGTGATTTCATGTTTCATTTGTATCTGATATTTACCTCATCATTCTTACGTCATGTTTAATCCATCTTTTCGTGTGTATATGAACTTTTTGTCAACTATGTTAAATTTAGTTCAGCTTCCATACTACGATCATTTAATTTCATTTTAGTCCGTTTATTAGGAATGTCACATGGTGAAACAACATAATTTACTGTATAACGTTTTGGACACAATTTACTGTCCATATTCATTTCAGGTAACTCCACAACTTTAAGGCAGAGTTTATATATTCCTAATTTTCTCTCCTCCTCTGTGATGACAAGGATAGACGAATCTTCCATATATCTGGGACAGGTGCAGAATCATTTCTGTTGCATATATTTACTGTAGAGTCGATAAGCAAGGACTCGGTTATCCATCTCTCCTTGCACCCAACTAAGTTACTTTTTAGCGCAACTGCTCTGTCCCATTCTACTGTGTGGTTGCGTGTAACTGTGTGCAGAGCTATAGCCGAACTTTCCCCAAAATTTTTTTATCTTATTAGGACCTACTAGTCTTGATTTAGCTGTTTTTTTACTGTTATTCTAATCGACTCAGGTCGACTACTTTTACCTATGTATTTGACCTCGCAATCATTGCAAGGGATTTGCTAAACCAGATTATTTTGACTGATTGAATCAATAGGATCTTTTAACCCTCAAAACTTGTTTCTAAGCAAGTTTGTTACTTTGATCCCAGCCTCACTGAAAATTCTTCGTAATGCTTCTGCGTTGTCTTCCTTGTATGGTAACAAAGCATAGGCTTTGAATTCTCTTTCAACCCTGCTAAAGTTGAAAATAATGGTATAATAGGATCAAATAATGTTTACTTCTGATTTGTTTGAATAATTAAATATTGTTAATCAGATTGCGTATTGTCCTTCTGTAGTTAATTTTTAAAGGTTATCCGGCTTTGATTCAATCATTCTTGTATAAAGTTGATCATATCAATTTATAGAGTGAAGTAGTATAGGTTACCAGGTCGCAGTAGAGTGATTCTATCACTTCCACTCCCAAAGAAGCTTGACACTTGAGATATTAACTAGTTCATAATCCAGTGAAATTTTCCTCATTTCCTTATTTTTGTTTCTCTTCCCCAAGAAACTGAACATCATCGTGCTTATGAACCTGAAGGGAAATTAAAGGATTTACAGTCGTTTAACTATCAGCAAGGTCAGAGACTTCATGCATCTGTTTCAGGTTTCCAGAATACAAGAAACTATTGTGATCAGAATATTGCTTCGCATTTTAGAGTAGGAACCTACCTAAAATATGATTAAACGATTATACAAAGGCTTTTATTTCCTAATTAATGAAGTAGTTGAAATTGAATCATCTCAGATTATGAGACAATTTGTTATACCTTTCTTATTCAGTCAGCAAATTTGTGAAAAGTAATCCATTCTCTCAGCTGCTTAATTAGTTAATCTCATCATGAGTATACTTCAAGTGGCATTATCACCTGTAATTTGTAGATTACTTTTTAATTTTGAAAAAATACTCTACTTTTAGTGATTGTGTATATTTTCTGAAGCTGATTAGTTAATTGAACAGCCTTCAAACATTTTAGAAGACAAGAAGCAAAAATAGAAATCTAAAAAAGAAAAATGAAAATTCGTTTGGTAGCTTTGATGGCAAATAGCTTCACTGTTCAACTGTGATCTGAAGAATAAGGTGTAAGTTGAGAATGAAAATCAATAGAGTTACGTTGATATTTGTTGGGTGAACATAATCACCAAAGTAAGAAACAGAAATTTCAGGTAAGTGTTGTTATTCTGAATATACACTTAGTCTGTTCAATGTTAACTTGTTTTCTTTTAAAGAAGGGTAATACCTTATGGAGATAATTTTCTAGAAATTTCCAGTTAAAGACCACTACATACTAATTTGAAAGGATTTATACAATTTTATTTTCTAGGTAATGCAGTGTAACATCTGTGAAAAGCATATATATATATATGTATTCAGAAAGTTTTATAGTATAGTATCTCGTATTTTGGTTATTATGAAAACTCACTTCGCCTTCACTTTCATTCTCTCTTGATCTTTCTTTTTCATGCTCTTTTAGTCCACCAAATTCAGTATACCTGTCAAAAATGTTATATTCTGTCTCATTAAGTTCTTCTGACTCTTTCAGTGTTTTCTGTAAGCAGAGGTAGATATAAATAGGGTTATATATCATACGTTTGTACTTGCATATTTGATATTAGAAGCTCTACAGCTGTTTATTGTAGCTAAAATCTGCACAACCTTTTGGCAAACGAGAAAAAGTACTCGGCATATGCGAATATTTTATTTATCACTGAAAATTTTTCGTTGCATCATTACACTACTTTTAAGTACGCAAAGTTATATTTCGATTTTTTTACAGTGTCGGAAAATGGTTAACTTGAAAATTGTTAACTGATTTTGCTGAAATACAGGTTATGAGGTCATAGTATTGAGAAGTATCTTATGTAATCTACATTGGATCATATAATTCTCCAGTTTACTTAGCAGGAAATAATTTTAACTAATAAAATTGAAAATTCTGATCCATCTTGTTACTTGGTTGGAGGCAATCAGCAAGGAGCCCTACTTGACCTAGGTTTCTAACTTGTTGACATTTCCCATTAAGGCATATCTGCACTTCTGAGGGAACTGATGTCCCTCATAAGATTCGTACCTGCGTCATGCAGTGTTACAGTCAGCGAAGTTACCACTAAGCTATTCGGGCTGCAAAATGACCTATAGTATTCGGTCAGTACTCAGGACTATATAACATGAAATCGGTTTCAGTCCAGTGATAAATCAATGTATGATTCACGTTGGTCGTGCTACAAACTTAAAGCTTACTGAACTGGTTTGTTTGGATAAGCTTTAAGTTTGAGCTTACGAGTAAACAATCTTTGTTTGTATTGACCCCGTGAAACAAATACACTTTTAAATTTTAACTTGATTTGTTTTCCTTTTCTATAATGCTGCTGAATAAAATAATAGCTGATACAAGTAAAATGGATGAAGACATTTATTTCTTTTTATCTCCCTACGAAAACGGATTATCATCTAATACCCTATTGCTGATGATAGTTTTCGGAAAGTAAGTTGAAAGCAAGGTCCTAAATTCATCGAGGGTTCTAGGAATATCACATTTTGAGAAATGGCAGATTGGAAAAAGAAAATCGTGGGTATGGAAAAACTGTGGCTTTTGTTTCGCTTTTGTGTTCCTGACTTTAAACTTAGTGGAGTGAGAACCTTACAGGCTGTTGTACTTTGTAAATAGGTAAGAGCTTAGTGACAAAGCTTTGTCCTTATAGTAACTGAAGTCATTCGTCTGATTACAATTAGCTAGACTGCAGGAATTATTTGCTGTTTCTGTACAATTTTCATTTGAACTAGCTTTGTTCAAGTTATTAGTCTCCTTTAACCAAGAGCCAACCTGATTGGAGAGGGAAATATTTTGACAGGAAGACTTGGCTGAATCAAGGAGGTTGTTTGTTCAAAGGCTTTTTATTGAGTGGATATCATTCTGAGGAGGTAACTAAAATGAATATAAAATGTTTAGATAAAAATTAGTTCAAATTTCTGCAGTCAAACTGGTTTAATCTTTCGGAAATTCATACATCTGATTGTTGTTATGAGACTGATATGCAAACAATGAAGAATGTTTGTTCCACACAGTTGGATAGACTGGTAATTATTTATGAGAGAAGAAAACGATAAACAGCTCTGTAAGACATAGACATAGTTAATGGAACATGACTGTAGAAAATTTTTTCTGAGATTACTTTTCTTTCACAAACATCATAGACGTTACATGTTTTAAATCAGGGAGATAGCTACAAGCACGTTCTTTCCTTGAGTACAATCACTAATATATTCAAACCTTATGTTTTGCATTCGCAAACGATTCAAAACTATATTCTTTGGCCGTGGTCTGCATAGGTGTATTGAAGGAGATAGCCAACATAACAACCACTCTAGTTGACTTTCTGTGAACGGATGATGAACATGCGTAGCATACATACTATTCTTTGAACTATAACAAGGAAAGTGTAGTGGAACTAATGTAATATTTTAATACAGTGAGAAATCAATTCATTTGAGCAGATTTTTGAAATATGCAAACTGACATCTTTAGAAATGAAAAACTAACTAATCAGCCACTAATACTGAACTGTTTTCTCTATCCTAATAAGTTGAAGAATTCACTCACTGGATACACTTTTACCGATCAAAAGGCAATATAATTCGCTAAGGATTATGAAATTCGGAATTTGCTTATTAAGAAGTCAACAAAGTAAACTAGAGATTATTCATTCTCTCATCTCCACTAATTCTGTGTATGATACTTACATGTTTAGGAGATAATAGATTTTCTAAAGCAGTCTTCTTACAGATTTAGTCATGCAAAATAGCAATTTTTTATAGTTATAATTGAATGTGGAATAAAACTACATTTCGGGTTACTTACTCTACTTAAATTGCTGAAACCAGTTTTGTGTGATTGCTGTGACAACGATCCTGAAACATGCTTTCCACTTCTTTCCGAAGTCTGAATAACGATAAGTAATAAAATGAAATAACTGTATTGAAACACCATATAAGGTATTACTATTTATTAATATACTTGTAAATCTCCGTTGTTTTACTTGATCGAATTGTTCTGTTTCTACTGGCATATTGTCTCCTATGCGGATGCCTCGATATTGCCTGAATATTTATTATAATAGTTTACTTGGTTATAGCGAGCAGAAGAATCCAGAGTGTGCGTTTCGACCTATTTAGGATTCGTCGGATAGATGTACCTGCACCATAATGTGTTGTTGTCCCCAATGAAACTCGAACCTCGTGCCCATCGCTTCAAGCGCTTCAAATGTAAATTACCGCATCAGGTAGTTAGTTAAGTGTGGTCTGCAGTAAAAATGGCCCTTCTTAAGCAACAGCCATTGGAGAAGTTTTCCGGGTAATAAGGGTTTGATGGGTAATTTCCGAAAAGACTAGGGACTGATGAAGAATGAATCTATTGCCTTGTCATCTAAAGCTATCACGATAGCTGAGTAGAACCTGCTACTTTTTGAAGTGACGTGGATGCAATGAGTCAGTAGCCAGTGGTATGCAGTATACGACGGACTTTGGACATCTTATACCACCTTTTATGATCGTAACTGCTTCATTAGGATGCTGAAGCCAGTGATAATCAATGGGTGTTGTAATAGTGGTCATATTTCCACATCCTCCAGTTAATCGTAAGTAGTCACTGTTGAATCTCTTACTAAAAGTCATACAACACTTCTACATTTGTGGGTGTTAAAACGAGCCTAAAATAAGTTTGGAGTTGAAATAATCATAATAAGAGCATTTAACATTCACAACAGCACTTTCATTATATCAAATTTAAGGCATACTTTACATAGTGAGCTGAATTCAGCTGGGGGACCAGGTAAAACTGAAAACATAAGGCTAAAAACTAAAAAACGACAAAATAGCTTTCTACCTCTTTTCTACTTTCTGGTGATTCTTAGCTTCTTTGATTAGAACCAATTTCTAACCGATTAAAACTTTGCAGATAATTTTTATGGGCAATGAATAGAGGTTTTTAAAATTGAAAGCTTTGTTATCCAGCTAGAGATTTTCTAAAGAATTGGTTGAATTCCAAGAGTTATTCACCACACAATATCAGCTGGAGAAAAATTAACAATTATAGATCGATAATGGCCTGCTTAAACTTTGGGCTACCTTATTTTACCACGAAACATATTGCATCAAATTATTCTTTTCTGAAATGTTTTAATCATTCACTTATATCCTCTAATCGTATCATATACTGTCGCACATTTCAAAAATCATTACAACCTTTCTACGTATTGATAGGCAACTTAAGAAAAAAGATCATTATGGATGGTAATAGGCTCTCAAGCGTATGACCACAGATCAAATGACTCTTCCAGAAATGGTTAGCACGAACTGCAGGTTTTCATCGAAGGAAGTTGGTTACCTTCAGCCATTCTCATTCACAAATGCGTATTGAAATACGGATGTAATAATGCTGCAGGAAACATGACTTCATACCTTGCATGATGTTGATTTACTTTAAATAAATGGTTTCAAGTTATTTCGGCAATATCGATGCTTTTCTAAGGAGAAACGTAGTGGAGGTGTAGACACATTTGTCAGTACAAACTGACCCTCCTCCAACTACGTGTACCTTACCTTCTCCAGAGACAGAATTGAGTGTATTACTAATAAACATCATGCTAAACATTTGAGTAAATACAAACAAATGCGTAACAAACATCTGTGTCACACCTGACTGTAGTTTGTCAGACTTATCAACTTTTGCCAACGAATACGCTAAATTTACTTCCCTCTTTATGGAAAACTAAAGGTCTATAGTCTGTGGAGATTTTCATTCATGTGATTGCAGTCTTCTGGTATCATTAATTCATGAAAACCTTGTTAACTTTTCTACTCTTCTGCATAACACACTGGATTTAGTGGTTGCAAATGACTCCGGCATAAATGAATCACCTGGACATTCTAGGCAGCTGAAATTAGACCATTGTGTTGTATGCGTTTTACATGTGGTATATTGCAAGTTACATAGGCAGGCTTTTGGACACCTTTCTAAGAAAGTTCAGTATAGATTTTATTCACAGGTGAATTTAGGAAAAAATTGACTTGGACAAATATGTTACTCAGACAGCTTAGTGGTCGAAAATAGGTAACAAAAGGTGCTTCTTCTGATATCAGTGAGTTAAACCAGTCAAACGAATGTCGGCAAGGCGATTTCATCCTTCCTAGTGTCACAGTTAAATTATTGTCATTATATTTCATTTAGGTGCCAAATGGAACATAGGGCTTCAGTGGCACGTTGCCAATACACTCTCTTCACTACAGTCTTTTCAACCTGGCTACACCACTGCCCACAAGCTTCCATTTCTTCCTCACACTACCTCCTCCATGTCATTCACTAATCCTCAACTCATCGTTTCCCCTTTGGCTTCCACTTAACGACCTGACCTCGACTGGCACGTGATGTCCCCAATCGACCTTCTCAGTGTATGCCCAATCCATCTCCACTTTATTTTAAAAGAAACTTACTTCACTAATTTTCACTAACCTGTGATGACCGTCTTGATGACTGGTCTTGCATTATTAGAGGATTTGAACTTTCTACTACATTGGTTATTCGTCTCCAGTGATCGCCGTGATCCTAAAATAAAGTCAAAGTCTCACTTCAGCATTTATTTATTTAAGAGACTGAAAGTGAGAAAGAACATACTTGCCACATTCATGCCTGTTGTTATAACACTTTACGAAAACATTTCTCAACAAAGTTTTAAAAAGTATAACCAAATCAGATCAGGGTGTTTTAGGAATACTTTTTTTACCAGCTGTTCCTATAAGAAATAAATATCTAGTGTTATTCATCGTAGACTGATATCAGTTGGAGGAATAAAGAAAACCTGGCAGCATTGGACAGCTGTTTCGTCCTAGTATGGGACTTTTCCTTTGCTCCTCCAACTGATGTCAGTCTACGACGAATAACAACTTGAAATATTTCCAAATCCCTACAACCCTCTCAAAATTAAATATATTGCGGGAAAGTAGTTAAAATGACCAAATATTGAATATGTTTTTAAGGAACTTGAATGTTCTCGGTGGTTGCCAGCCATAAAATTTCCCAGGTCGAGGTAACTGCTTTCAGGTTTCTCAGTTAGCCAGCGAAATGGGATCCACAGAAGTGTTGTGTTTTCAAAAATTTGAATTCCAAATCACTGCTGATACACCATAGCCCTGGGAATTTAATTTTCCGTGCTAGCGAACACCTCACAGACTGGTTAAGTAAAGGTGTAGTAAAGGTCAATACCAGCTCCATATTAGCCCATCTGGTTGAAACTAACCATCAAGTGGATTTGAATGAATTATTTTCCATCCTCTACTGCGTTCCTATCAAATAGCTAAAAGGTGCCTGGCTCAGGATCTTTCAGACTGCGGAAGCAGTGACAGTTAGGACTAAACAACCCGAGTTATGTGTTCAAAAGAACCTCGTTTTGCCTGTACAGCTAACTTGGCCCGATATAGGACACATAAATTCATTAGCATCCTGCCCTAAATAATCTAATTCCCCGTAATCTGAAATAATTTTAGCAAATTTTCTAAACTTATTTTGTCAATCTTAGTTTATTTCATCCAGCTGCCTTAAACACCTTCCTGTTGTTTAATTAAACTATCTCCTTATATTACAACGTAAGCCGTATTAACACGTAGATAATCAGTAAATTTTTTATTGAATCTTAGTGATAATTGGTTCCATCATGAACGTTCACACATGACATTCCTGAAATAGCTTCCTTAAACGTATAATATTATTACCAGAGTGATAAGCGGAATGTCTATATTACTGACAAGTAATTCCACAATATGTACATATGACTGCAGAACCTGAAGGAGAAGTTACCAAAAAGAATATTATTTGATAACTCAAATAGCTTTTGAATTGTAATTGGAATTTTTAGCTAATTGAAGGTAGGAGAGACTTGACATCACTATATCAAATAACCAGGTTATTATCTAGGAGGGGAGAGATCAACGCAGACGAAAGCAATGAGAGATATTGAAGGAAACCTAGTTACCAAAAAGGCGAAACAAAAGAGACGACGAGCTAACCACTTCAAAAAACTCTTGAATTCACCACCATCACCACCACCAGCAACTGGTCCAGAAATATCACCAGCAAGCCTGCAAACCACAGTGACTGGTCCAGTGAACACAAACCCTCCGACACAAGCCGAAGTGAAGTCCTGAAAACCACACAGATGCTGAAATCCAAGAAGGTATCGGGACCAGGTGGAATTGCGTCGGAAGCACTGAAAACAGAGGCAGAGCCAACAACGTACATGCTCACACCAGTAATGCAGATGGTTTGGATGGATGGAAGGAATGAGGGAGGGAGGGAGAGGTACCTGCAGATTTATGCGAAGAAGGGTTACCTTGTGAAACTGCCAAAGGACGGTGGGTGACCTCAGTCTTTGCAAGAAGTGGAACGAAATCATGCTTCACCACTGTCCACCCTAAACAAGCAAGATATCAAGTCGCATCATACTGGAGAGACAACAGGGAAAATGTACTGGATTCAGAATGACCACCGGAGCAGGTAGGCAGGCAGGGAGGAAGGCAGGCTGGCTGGCTGGCTGGCTGACTTACTTCATGAAGAACAAATCATGTGCAGATCAAATTGGAATGCCACACTATGCATCATCATAGAAGAGAGCAGAGAATGGCTGTCAACTCAACTCAACTCAACCTCAACTTCATCAACTTTGAAAAGGCCTTCAACTGCGTCAAACAAGAAGTCATTTGGCAGGCACGCAACTGCTTCAACACTTCAGTTTCAGTGCCACAAACATTCATCAACCTCATTCAACAGCGGCTGTATGCTGTGTGATGCCACATGCCACGTGATTCACATTGGAAAGCTGGGCTCAGTGATGCCTTTGAATTGAAGACAGGAGTGAGACAAGGTTGCCGCCCACCATCACCGATGAGCTTTCTGCTGTTGTGGTGGAGTGAACTGGACTGGATCATGCAGCAAATTGTGAGGAGCGAGGAGACGGGAATACGCTGTGTGGACCGATGAAAATAGCCTAGAAGGAGATTCTGATTTCGCCGATGATGATTTGTGTTTGATGTTGCACAAACTCGAAGATGTGCAGGTGGAAGCGAACAGGTTGACAGAAGAGGGTAGGCAGCGAGAACGGGACTTCCTTCAGGTGAACGTAGAGAAGTCAGAGGTGATGAAGATATGCAACCAGCAACAACAGCATCAGCAACCAGCACCAATGACCATGAATGGGAGAAGCCTAAGAGAAGTAGTCTATTTCGTCCACTACCTGGACAGCATGGTTTCAACTACAGACATCACATGCGTAGATGATGATGTGAAAGCATGAATCAGAAAGACAGCAAGACAAGCTTTCATGAATCTGGAAAGACAGTGTGGAGGTCTGCTGCACTGCGCTACACCGCACTCCCCTCCACTGCACTCTTCTCCACTGCACTCCACTCCACTCCACCCCACTCCACTCCACTCCACTCCACTTCAATCAACATAATCGTGAACACGATCCGGATTTTCAACAGTTATTGTAATCGAATTTGTGCTTCTTTGTGACTGTTCAGAGACTTGGTGCGGTACGAACAGCATTTCCAACTAACTACAGACATTCATCAACAACTGTCGCCTACGCTCACTCGATACTGACACTGAAGATGAGATGGCCAGAATAATAAGAATAAGCGACAAGGAACTCTGGCTGACTGCTGGCTGGCAACGAACCAACGGAGAACCAATTGCCTAACAAATATGCAGTGGAATGAAGTGGAGATGGATTGGGCATACACTGAGAAGGTCGATTGGGGACATCACGTGCCAGTCGAGGTCAGGTCGTTAAGTGGAAGCCAAAGGGGAAACGATGAGTTGAGGATTAGTGAATGACATGGAGGAGGTAGTGTGAGGAAGAAATGGAAGCTTGTGGGCAGTGGTGTAGCCAGGTTGAAAAGACTGTAGTGAAGAGAGTGTATTGGCAACGTGCCGCTGAAGCCTTATGTTCCACTAGGAAGCCGTGGGACAAATAATAGTAATAATGATGTATCAGAATCAGCTGTTGCTTTTCTTGATTTGTTCGTTGCGGAATATGGCGACAAAACACTTATGAGATTTAAGTAGACGAATCCCGTGTATATCGGTCAGCATTCGAGCTCCTATTGGTGGGTGCCGATCATGAAGTGAGGAAGTCTTACTTAGTGATTGGATTAGATAATATTTACAGCATTAATTGTATGGAAGGTGAAACTGACTTGATATCGCGATATCACTTAATAAAACATTCTTTGCGGTCAAGCTCCATTTGAGATTTACCAGGCTTAAATTGTTCTGGGCATATTTAAAAATTGTGTCCCTTGTCAGGGCACCTTTGTGTGCATCTACCAGTTCAGCCATTCTTTTATCGCACCGACCACAGCCAACGATTGCTGTCAACATGTATACAAGGACATTTTCTAGCTTGATTATATAAGGGTGAAAGGTAATGCATTATAAACTCCATCGACCGATTCTAACCATTCAATTGACCCAAACATTGATTTTAGATTTGTTTACTGAATTCCTTCAAATACTTCACCTTCACTCCGTCTTTAACTTCTAAAGGTAGCAGAGGCTTTGGTAATCCGTGGACTGAGGCCTGACCGATTTCGCACACAAGAAGTATGCACAGTCGTAGCCTCAACTTAATTCTGTTTTAGTTTGTCTCGTTTTGGTTTTTCGACATTCTTGCTTAATTAGGTTATTCTTTGCACGTTTTCCTTATCATTATCGGTATTATTTTTACATTCAGTAGTTTCAACTTTTGTCTCTTATTGTCTTCCTTGTAATTGCAACTTTTAACAAAACAATTTCTTTTTCATCTCACTTAACTCGTCTCATTCATATTATTATCGATTCGACTATCTGAGATAGCCATAGTTTGACAGGTTTTTAATAATACTTGTTGATGATTAGAGGTGAAACGAAAACCAGCGTTCCTCGCGTTTCATTGGATTTAGTCCTGCTGCAGCTTAGATTTCCATTTCACCGTTAATCATCACTTAGTATCATTCATACTACCTAATTCTATGTTTGTTTATTAGCTGTACCATGTTTTCTCCCTCTTGGAATCTATATTTCCCCTTGAGACTTTCTAAAAATCGTATGTAACCTCTTTTTGTGACCATTCCACCTTTACATCATTAACTACCAACACTTATAACTATAATCATCATGCTGTTGCATCAGTCTTCCATTACTTTTTCCCATGGAGTGTAGTATTCGAGTATCATATGTATGCAGTGCTCAGCTTCAGTAAAAATAGGTAGAATAGAGTGCATTATAGTGAATATCTTGTCTTGAATGAAGTGTAGTTTGCATTACCACTTATTTACTTATTTAACCCAAAGTTATGACTGCTTGGGCAAGAACATACTAATATGAGTCTATTTACCAAAAGACTAATTTTACAGCAGTGGAGATATTTCAGACCTTGTGTCACAAAACAATTAAGATACGTGAACCACTCACCACTGGAATATTCCCTTCTGTTAAAAATATACAGGTAAATACGCTTGTAAATGTAGTTGAATAAACATTAAAAATATTGTACTCATTTCCGGCTGCTATCAAGTAATTTATTGAGGTATACATAGATGGAGTTTTGTTTGATTTTAATTCCTTAGAACCTGTAACGTAGCATTTTATGCTAATGAAGGGCATGAGAAAGTTAGCGTTATTCAATAATTTGTTTTATCTTCAGTAACTTAACGATATCAATAGTTTATTCATACTTGTTTTTATTGAATCATCAATCTTATCATGATCTTTGACAAGAAATGGAAAACACACATTATTTTTCAACCCTAGGTTAAATTACATCGGTAAGGGTAAGAATTCGTCGTTTAACTACCACTGAATTTGATTGACAGACTGACAGTGAGCATCTGCTTAGACAATACAATACCTGGGATTGTTTGAGTCCACTTACTACTTATTTATAAACATTTATTAGTGTAACGGAATCGGTGAATGCTGATGAGATTCTTTTATTGTACAGTGAGGATTATGACGTCCATCGATGCTCAGATAGACATATAAATAATTAATTCTTAAATTTCATCTGGTGAGATGTTTTCCAACGATGAAATGTTCAGGAATGAAAAACCATCCACTTGAAGTATTTATTTCACATATAGACCGTCTGTTCAAATTGTGGTAGTGTTGCAAATAAAGTACATTACAATGTACGACATCGTAAAATGTTTACCCCGATTCAAATAATATTGACATTAATGCACTACCATGGGAAACCATGAAAAATATTAGTACAACTAGGAGTAGTTTCTGTGTGAGCGCTTATAAATTGAACAGTAAGTCAGATTCATGGGGGATAAATCCGTGTTTGTACTTATTCTATATTGTTTTCGCACAGTGGTATAAAATATTCACGAAGTCAGATTCCAAATAGTAATAATTAAAAGACTGTCTTTTAAGCCTTATTACACTAGTTTTTGTCAAAAGTCTAGTCTACACAAAAATACTGTTTGAAGGGAAAAACAGAATTACAAACAAATACTATCCTTCTGTAATTTGGCAAAAGTTATCACAAGACGTACTAAAAGTTCCCATTTTGATAACCTACAAATATCGGACTTCATCCACTGAGAAATTTCTCTTCAGCGGCATCCTAATAGCGTATTCCGAACAGTGGTTGAAGACAGACCGATTTATTCCTAAATTAAAATTAGGACTGTTATTAAGGATTTGCCTACTATTCAAACTGACAGATCATAAAGAAAAAATACCTACCCACTTGAGTTTTGTACAAAGTTTAGAAACTATTTTACAAATTTATTTACAGTTAAATGCTTAATAATGAGTATGTTACTATCCATCTGTTAGTGCTTTCAATTTAACTAATCGACGTCTCTTGAATGTTTACATATAAAGAATATAAAATGGCGCTTGGATTAGATTTTTCCCTCACGTAAACGTCTATCAGTGTCGACAGGCTTTCATCATAACACACTTTTATCTTTCTAACAACATTCAGTAACCATAGATAAATGAAATTTTCCAGTTACTTTGAAAAAAGAAAAAGTTATGCACATTGAGGTGCCACTGGAATAAAATTTAAGCCTTCTGTAGTCGGTTAATAGCTCCTGAAGGATACATTCATCAATGGTAAAAGATATCATTATTGTTATTATTATTGTACTAAGAGCTTAAGCCGTATAAGATTTAGGATATCAAAGAAAACACTATGATAAAGTATTCAGTATCATGGGATATTATGACGTATATGGAATTAAATTTAATCACAAATCGACATTGAATGAGGTTTTTCAACCCTTCTCGGTTTCGAGTACTTTTTATACAGTTTGCATATTTGTGAATAACGTCATCATCCATATATGTGACGAGATTATACTTCACGTAAAGATTTCTTCTTGAAGTGCTCAGACTTACTTGAATATTAATTGGTAGAGCATTGATTCGACTAATAGTTCTGCCTAGTTCACTGGCATCAAAGGTTTGATCTTTTTCCATCTCTACAGATTGGGCAATTTTATTGTGATCAGAGAACATTCTCACTATCAGATATGTTTCTATTTCCCAGAAAAATACCACGTTCTCATAGAATATTCTTTTGAATGTTGTGCATAAAAACTTTTACTATATATAGTTATATGTGAAGTGGGAATTTAGTAGGAAGATTTATAGGGAAGTGATAGAATGCAATGAACCATAGCCGCATGAAAGCCTGAAACACATCATATATATATATATATATATATATATATATATATATATATATATATATTACTTTCTTCTTACTTTGATCTTTATGAGATTAAAACAAACAACCAATCGAATCATAGTGATCATCTTGTTTAGTATGCTATTGTTACACTTTGTAAAGAGGTCACGCGGATTATTGGAGTAGTTACCATAGTGATAATTTTGTTTATACATTGGATAATATTGAGGACAGTTTAATAATGATGATAATTTTGGTAGTTATAAGTTGAACTTAGTCAACTATTTAATATAAAATTATGATAATTATAATCATCATTATGTTGATTTGCTCGTAATTCTCCGTTGTTTGACTAGATCGAGTCTCATAGGGAACAACATTAATCTGACGAGTCTCAAATATGACAAAATGCGCTTCCTGAATTCCTCTGCTAGCCAAAATCAAGTTAATTTGGTTATCACTTCTTTTTATTGTCAACTTTTTTCAGAAATGATGGTTCTAAGTTGCTCCAGTTGATAAACTTCGGACTTCAGAAAACTTCTGAGGATAGTTCGCATGAGAAATAAGTCACTGTGGTACTTTCTATATGCAAACTGTATGGCTGATCTAGATGAAACTTTGATTCATTGAACATCAAGTTTCAAACAGTGTGTTGGTTTTACTGAAATTCATCTTCACTTTTTGCAAAAATGAATTTGAGTACGATCTCATATTATATTCATTAAGAAGCTCCCCTATTACCCGACTACATGGTATGTGTAAACCAACTAATAAATAAATTTAAAAGTTCTGATTAACGATAATAATTTACTGGGACATATTTCACAATTTACCTATTGCGAGGAACTACTGCTTGTTGGTATCCCTTGTTGTCCTACCTTCCGGTATAGCATAATACCACCACACTTTATTCCATTAGATGATTCCCGTAAGAACATTCAAACCATAGATATTCACCGCTAGTTGTTGGCAATATTATTTACGATAAGCGAATTTTTATGGTCAGTTGTAGCTGTGCATATTATATTGGGCTTCCAATCAAAAGTCTTTCACCAAAAGTCACAGCAGAATGTTTTGCGAAGCTAAGATCCTCTACACAAATGTCAGATATCAAGAACTATTAATCACTATGGGTGTACTCACTTGACATTTGTAGAGAGGTACAAAACATGGTTCTGTTATCACTTCTAGGGTATCTCTTTGTTCTCAATTTTCACAGTGACGTAAACATTCATCATAACTCGTAGAATTTAGGGAACACAAAAATATAAACTGTTTAAAAATTCTTGCTTACTGATCAGTATGGGGTATAAGCAATGATCCAACATACAATGTAAATAACCATAAAGACAAGGAGTTTGATAAGTTGAAAATTATATGTGGATTTGAAATGTGATTTCTGAATGTTCACTTGATAGATGCGAAGAAGGTGAAGAAAAACATCGGTATCAGGGAAGGTGGTAACACCAAACTTATTAACTATAATGAAGTCGAAAGAGGGAAGTAATAAATGAGGCCCATGAATGTACCACCTCTGTACTCATAGATAAGGTTTGAGATAGTGAATTGTAAGTCCTTCTACCGTGCACAAATTTCGAAAGCATACCTCTTGACTCTTTAGATGACACTGGTGGAGCTGGTTAAACACCCAAGCACCGAAGTGTTAATTGATTTGCATTTTCCTCTTAGCAACTTAGTAATATAATGCACGAAAATATGTTTGGAAATCGCGTGTTTTTTGTGACCTATATAACTAGAGCTACAAGATAAAGTATGTTTGTAGACATATATAGAAGTGATCAAAGGCGACAGACTGCACTGAACATACCACGGAACCATTTATTGACCAGGTAAACTAATCTGAAGAATATCAGACAAAAATGTCCTCTTCAGCTATTTGGACAACTGCATGCATACATTTTCATCCGTAGCAGAAATTATTCAATCCTATTGATATTTGTAACCTTAATGTTAGATTAGAATCTCTGTCTATTACTTCCATAACTATTACGTTTAGATAAGGTAGTTCATGATTCATAGTATGTGTTCCTAGTTTGATTATATTCAAAGTTTCAGTTTTATTCAGTCTATGCTATTCGTTGCTAGTTCCGGTTTTATCTTAATCATTACTTGCTCAGCGCTTTTTATGTAGTAAAACAGCAAGTCAATACAGATTTATAGAGTAAAATTACTTTACAAAATCTTGATTTCGGTTTTACGTAAATTTTGTGCATTTTTAAAGGAAATGTTGGGTATGTTAATTAGGTAAGTAGTTGTTGTTGTTAAAAATATCTTTTCAAGATTTAATTTTTCATAAGCACTGAAAAGTTATTTTTTTCAAAGCATGGTATATGCATTGCATATGCATTGTGAAATGGACTAATCTATTATAAGTGTGATCACGGGCAGTAATTTTGCTCATAATCTAACCGAAATAAAAACTTATCATTGTGTGTACGCTTTACATTAAAGATTTACCTGTAATACATTACATTTACTGAGTAAACTTTCGTTTTTTTGATTCCAAAATGGTTTCAGTCCAGCAATTAATATAAGTCTTGATTGTGCAATAATATGTGTTATGTATGTCAAGGAAGTTATGAAACCGTTCTGGAGATTTGTTTGTAAGCGAAACATTCCAAAGAAGTTGCTGATTTCAACATTTTAATGCCAAGTTAAATAGTTGTCACATGGGAGCTATAGTTCCCAAAGAACTGTTAGTGGTTATAAATGTAGCATAACAGAGCGACTGGAAGTTGTATGTCCAACTTCTGTCTTGATATTAATTGAACGGGTAACAGTGGGTTTTGATACAACCTAAGGATGTGGATCCTATTTATCAAAGGGGTAGTATGTTAAAAGCAGACAATCATTCTGTTGCAGGGAAATTATATTTGAACCTAACCTTAGTATGGAATATTTATACCGCTGTTCATATTTGTAAAGAGTGTTGATTTCAAGGAAACAAATTTGTAAATAAGTTACCAGCGTGTTTTTGAGTGTTAGTAGGCTGTATATGAGAAGTATGACCAGTGTAAATGGTCACAGACACTTTGCCTGTCAAGAAGCCTTTAGCGTTGGCTTAGGTTTGAAAAGAAGTGCGACTAGTGTTTATATTTTATCAATTAAATAATACTGTATCACTGTGCGCTTTATATCAAATAAACAAATCTAATATGGAACTACATTCTACCACAGTGCCCAAGTTTTTTACTTATATTAGTGTTTAAATGGCTCTTAAGAAAATGTAGGGGGAAATATAATGATACGTAAGGACACTGGTTGTGAAACCACAGCAAATGCTAGGGGCTTCCATGCTGTAGGCAGTTCTAAAGAGGTGACGATTAACGTTATTCATCTCTCTTCTTGTCAACTTTTATACCTTCGATCTTAGAACTGACGCTGTAGTCATTTAGCTTAGTAAGCACACCTACTATTTGAGGTCTACTGGTACCACTTGACCGATCAGACTTCTATTGATGGACCGTGTCTCGAAAGCATAACTAACTAGTTGTTAGTCAAATGCCTAGACCCCTTGGTCATATTATAGTAACAAAAATTCTTCCACTTTCACTATTATAACCAAAACCCGTTCTACTTTCCTCTTTGATAGACAACGACGAAGGAATACGTGAAAAAAATGTGTTGAAAATTCTTTTCAGGAATGAGACAATATGTACATAAGTAATTAGCAAGTATTCAAGAGTTTTTGAGGTTACTGAAGCCTAATCCCTCAGGCGGCGCTCCTCATAAACCTTGGGGTACATCTCTAGTAATAGTCCATATATTTTTTCGGGTCATCCCGAACCAGTATCTACATTTCATACATAATTCTCGAAGTCAGCATTCACATTTCTCCTATTTCTTTAGCCCTCTGGTTAAATTCAGTAGGTTCGTGGTTGTAGGGTCGTAACCATCTTGGAGTGTCGCAATACATTTGCAAGCAACTAATTTAACATATCAGAGGACTTATCAAAATTACGGGACAAAAATCTGTGCATAGGAAGCAAATGATGACAAGGCATAAGCAAAACAGTGCTGGTGTAACATTGTCGACTACATAGCACTTGTATCTATCTTGAAAGACTACCATTTGCATTTCATCATGCGTCAGTATACTTTTGTACACATAATATGCTACAGAATTCTCTAGAGAACGCAGCACACCAGATGTGATGTTATCCATCTTTAATTATAAACATCAGAATAATGCTCTTGCATCGAAATGCTTGTGGTAGTGCAAACCACGATTTCCTTCACTGGCCTCCCAATGATAAAGTTCAGTGCAGTATTCCCGAATTTCCTGAATACTCAACTCTGACGGAAATCATATGCATAGGTGTTTCTTCAAATGTAAATAGCAGCACTCAACTCTGTTGTTTGTCCGGATACCTAGGGTAGCGATATTCTGTATGAAGCATGTCACCCACATTTGCGTACTTGCCTTAAGATTATTGCTGATATACCCCAGTACTGCTGGATATTCTATCCTCGCTGTATATCTTAACTCATTAAATCTAAGAAATTATTATAAACTGTCGCTGATGTCTGTCATGGTCATGGGTATATGGGAACTCTTTATACTGCACTGTCATTTCTCGATTCGCAAAACTAGACCTCTCTACTCATCTCTTGTTGTCTAGAGCATACCACACCTACCATGTTTCTCTAATTTCTGCAACTAATGAGCCCATGTCACTAATCCCTAAACACCCTCTGAAAGAAACATGTTACATCACTAGGGTACAATAGCCCCCGGAAGTTTCATAGTCATCGTATGTCATCAGCATCCAGAACTCGACGTCAGCCATAATAACTGTTTGACCTG